TATTTGGCTGATATAAGTATAGGATATATTACACCATGAATAACGGGGACTTAGATGGACTGTTAGGCTTTAAGTTTGGCTGAAAAAAGGACTTTGCCGTGCGTGAAAGACCTTGAACAAGTTTGTAATCGATTGTAGGTTTTTAAGTTTGGGAGTTTTACGGCGTATGGATTTAACTAGCGAACATTGTCCAAAGTGTAGACGTTCTCATCATGAGGACTCAACCATAAAGACGTGGTAATTCCAACTGTTGATAAGCTCTGGTAATCAAAGATAAACACCACATGTTTAATTAGGAAATCATCTACACATGGGTACAAATGAGTGACGTTCTGTGGCCAGGTTAGCTTGCCTCAGGCTCGTTTTTGAGATATCATCAGGGTCGTCCCTCTCCATCCATGTGACGATATGATGGATGGTGAACAAATCCACTTTGAATGGTACTTTACATGGTTTCAATTTGGGTCCCAAAACATAGCCACAAAACGAGCCAATATGGTAGTTAAAGAGACCAAATATGTTTGGATTTCCAATATAGGTATGTAACTGGCTTGAACCCCCTTGTTCATCCCAATACATCATAATTTCATAACGACCCTACTCACGTCGTGGCAGGGCCGGTTGACAGCAACAACATAAGGGCACTCCTATCCAAATGTTGGTAGTCGAAGATTCAAAGTGATTCCCATAATGTGTCCTAATAGTCCCTGATAAACCAGGTAGTACAACCAAAATAATCCCTTCCCCCTAATGATGAGTACCCCTAAACCAAAAAACCTTGGGTTAGAAACGACTGGATCGCTTCATCATGAGCCCCCTATCGGTACAGTACGGGAATCGCATTGACCCAAACATTGGAATCGCGTCGCCCTGGTTTTTCTGCTTCCGAATTACATAACAATAGTTATAATACACAGCCCCACTCATGTTCATGGCTTAAAACTTTAAACTCAAGAAACTGCAAGAGGTCCACACCTCGCCGTTGAGGGAAGATGAAGCTCTTTCCGAGGTAGGCTTCCACCGGCCTCAGGGTCAGCCAGGGTCTGCGAAGGGGGATCGGAATGCAGCAAACATGGTGAATATCAACCAGAAAAATAACTGTGTCACCTTTTGCAATGTCCCTTTGTATTATTTTCTATGATTAAACCAAGACATTATGACTCAGGGAAAATCTATGTTTTACATCATCAATTATAAGGCTTACCTGCAGATTTCTCCTTGATCCAATTCCTGGACAAAGCTTGGCAAGTTGTATCACCACCTCGTGTGGAGCAGAACTTCGCCCTTGAAAGTAAGATACCCTCCTGCAAACTTCCAGAAAGATGTGGAAAACCCACCATTCTTACATCATTTTCCGAAAACCATCAGGTGTTCCGGTGTTCCACATCTTTTTTCCAAGTTTCCAGCCTCCAATAGTTGGGTGTTTCAGAAAGTCATCAGCAGCTCCCTGCGGAACTGAAAAACTGCGCAGCTCAGCTCCTTACGACCTCCAAGGCTTTAAGCAACTCTTGGCCAGCTTCTCTTTAGGCCTCCGAAGTTTCCGGTCAGAAACTCAGGACGTCTCAGGATGCCAAAAGAGACTCGTGGAGAATGGTCTACCACCAAGCCGGGAAAAAATAGATAAAACAGTGGGGAATGACATGGAATAAGCTTCAGGAACTGGATGTGAACCAATAATCATCCAGTCAATGGATTGGTTTAAGGGACAATTTTGATCAGCATCCGTGGCTTTTACTCCCAAATTGATTGGGGTGTTCCTGCAGATTTTCCCTCACACTTTCAACCAATTCTGGGATTGCAAGTATCTAACTATGGATATTCACCATATCATTAGCCTGGTTAAACCAGCTTAGCTACCTAGGGGGCTCCTTTCCGCGGAATTCTAATATGGTGAAAGCATGTTAAGGCTCTATAATGACATCAAATGGCTACATGTAAGTTAGAATTGGATTTAGTCAGGACCTCTCAAGCATTAAGATCTTATCATTGTTTGGAAAATTCAACTCGTGATGCACTCTACTCAAACAGGGCTGCAAACTATAGGGATATCATGGTCGGAATGCTGGATGGAAAAATGGTGACAACCCCGTCTTCCATTGGATATCTCTAGACCCTGAGCCCTTGGCGATACAGAGGAACTGCTGGAGCTTGATGGGCTGGAAGGAACTTCCTCAGCGCGCGTCGCCAAGATCTTCCCGCCAAACATGCTGAATTTCACAACCCCAAATAGGTCTGTAGCAAAACTTTCCTAAAATATCCTATACATTTGACATGACTGGGTGAACTGGATTCAGGGATGCTTACTTATCTGGTTGGGGTATACCTACCTTCGTCAGTTGGGATGATGAAATTCCCAATATATGGAAAGTCATAATCCATTCATGTATTAATAATTCACCAGTATTAACCATTAATAATCCCTAAATCTCCATATTAGATAGTATATTCCCAATATGATGGGAAAGTCATAAAATTTATGTTCCAAACCAGCAACCACTTATCCCTTCAAGGCACAACTTGACATCCTTCACTATATTCAAATGCTCCAGATTTACACTGTTGGACCCCTGAAGCTGCGGACCACCCAAAACATACGGAACAACAAAGAAACATCTACAACTCAAGAACAGCAATTGAAATGTCAACACATGCCTCTTGAAGTTGAGAAAAACCAATCTGGCAAGCCGCAAATTTACCAATTGAGCAGTGCTCAAAACCTTGTCGTGTGCCTTTCTACTGGCTGTTTTTTCGATTTCCCATAGTTGGTTGTGATTATCTGCAATCTATTGGATTTTATAAATTCCCGCACTCATCAACCGGGGCACCGCTTCCTCCAATCGGAGGGTCCGGACCTGGCGACGTGAACTAGGTGAAGTAGGGATGCTTCAAAGCAAAGGGGAAATCTATTAAATAGTTGGGAAACTGCAAAGTGAAACTACATTAGTTGATAGTATTAGCATCTGACCCAAGAAATTGGTAACTGCAAGTCATATACGAAATATTATCAAAGATGGGAATGGGAAATCTGCGATAAATGGAGGTTTATAGCTGGAAAATGTTACCTGTACCATCCGGATCCCTCCGGTTGTTTCAAAAATGCCTCGGAAATCCACTATGAATGGAGGTTTATAGCTGGAAAAGACAACTAAAAAATGGATATGTTCCATTGCCACGTTTGATTACCGGAGGGTAGGTGAAACACATGTTATTTTAATGTTCACTTTTGAGCAAGACATTGCGTTTGTCTGAAGATGGAGTACCGCCAGTTCTAACCAATTCTCATCATCGTGCCCATTAACATGGCTTTAGGGTATCACATTTTTTTGGACAAACACACAATTATACCCTCCGGTGGACTAAAATAGCTATGGTATAGACGGCTCATTTAGTTCAATGATATACTTAGAAAAATTGTTATAATCTCAAATTTGATGTAAAACAAATCTTAGAAATTGATAATCCAAAATTGCTACTATGATGATATACTTAGAAAAAATTTTATATAGTTAAATTGTGATTTCCATTGATTTCAATAGCAAACATACGTCTACCGGAAGGGATTCCAACAAATCTGCTGTCAACAAAAGGCTCACAGTCCCAACAAGCTCAGGTTCCTGGGGCATCGCCTTGCACAGTAGAGATGCTGATGGTTTTGTTACAACAAAATTGGTTTAATTGTTGGAAAATATCGACATTGTATTTTCAGATGAGTTTCTGTAGGTGGTTTCAGACTCCAATGTTTGTATGGTTTATGATACTTCTAATTATAGTATTCATGGTGTTATGAACCAACAAACATAGCTGTAATATTGCTCTCCTGTTTTTCGGCAAGTCAACAGCCCAGTTTCGTCCCAAGTCATCCCTGGTGACGCTGCGAAAATCCACCCGACTTCTGCGCCTCATCGGCCTGGAGCAGAGCCGAATGTCTTGTTGTGCAAAAGATAATCACATGTCAGAAATACATAATCTTCTATATTTTTTACATTCGTGATCTCCATATATATATATAAATATTATGGTTGTATTATGTATATACAAGACACGGATTTATAGAATATTGTATGATACTATATAATATGTACAATATCATACAATATGATAATATTTCAAACTGTACTGAATTAGATATATTATATTAAATTAAATTAAATTATATTAAACGATATCATATCATATTAAATATTATTATATTATATTATATTATATTAAATATTATTATATTATATTATATTACATTATATTATATTATATTATATCTTATTATTTAAAGTACATTATATTATTTTATTTTTTTGATATTAAATTATATTAAATTATATTAAATTTTATTATATTGTATTATATACATATTGAATATAACATGGACTAGGGACCATAGACATGTTTACACATGTGCAGATGAATACCGCATGATATCTATATGCCAGATCCGATGGCGCCTGCTTGCGTTCCCCAATCACAAAGGGATGCTGAAGCGAAGGCTCTAGCACCTCCTGCCGGACTCACAAGGTGGTGCAGCATAGAAACTGAAGGTTTATCCACCAAAACAACATAGCATTTAACATCATTTCATGAGCAATATAATTGATTTATCTTAGCTGAGTTGCCTGAAAAAACTCCGATCACGTGGGTGTATGGGATAGTTGACCATGCCCTACCAAAAGAATCATGTTCGGACTTTGTATGAATTTGCTATATGTGCTATTGAAACGTCCATTTGGGAAACTTTTAACTTATAGCTATAACTGTGAACACACCCATACGCAATGAACACATATAATGTCTTGGGGTTGGGTGGTTTGGTCGTACCATTCCAAGGACACAGGTATTGATAGGGATATGTGAGGTGACACAACCAACTGTGACCTAGCTAGGCATATAAAGTAGACCCAGGACTAGAAACCAACAGCAACCAAAATCAACGTAAATAATCATAATTCTATCAGTTGATGCAATGGAAACCAACAGTTCTTCATTAGCTATCTGAAATCTACGGGCTTTCAACACCTCAGAAATGTTCGACCCGCCCCTTCCACTTTTCTGGTCGCTGCTCCCGGGATCAACCTGTCACTCCACCTCCACTGGTGCCGTGCTCCATCTCCAGTCATTCTCAGGGGGCGCAGCGCGCCGGCCGTGATTTCCAGCAGCCTCCGTCGGCGTTGAGGACATCGTTGTGACGAACTTGTTGCGGTCGTCATGTCTTGGGGATCAAGGGATTCACATTTTGGCGGAAACCTCAGGCGCGGTGTGGCAGCTGGTCTATGGGATGCGCGGGTTGGAGGGGACCAGCTGAAAGGAGGTGAAAGCACAGTGACTCTTTGCCAGGCCACGACTGAGCAGCACCCAGCAGTGGATTATGGGCAACCAGAGACACAAAGTGCCTGAAACTAAAGATCCCTAAATCAAGGGTTGCTCCAAACACCCCTGGCACAAGGGGGGTAAAGTGGGTTAATACCCCCCTTGCGGCGGGAAATTTACCGATGAGTTGGAGCATCCCTGAAATCCGTGTCGATGTTTTGATCAAAGATCACTACAACCCTACGTCAACTGCGATATCCAACAGCTGAGCTCTAGTTGCAAGATTCTGTGTCTCTGTTCCCGAAAAGCATTTCAACTCCAACGCAAACAAAGAGCACCACTAGAGGAAGAAATGGATTCAAATTGAATAATCAGGTAAACCCAATGACACAAACCATCACAGCAACCAGCCATGGGTTATTTTTAATCATCCCAAACAAGGGTATACCCAACAATAACAATAAACACCGAAATGGGGATGGCTTAAAATTGGGTAACTATATTATATATGCATATATATGCATCTCAATAAATAAATCCTCACGATTTTTCTCACGATTAATCACGGCTCCGAAACTCCGAGACTTCGGTCTCTGCACCCATCCCTGGAGGCCGCACCACACCACGGCACGGTTGATGATCTTTGCAAATTTGGGATCCAATGGCACCTCAAACAGGACACCAACAAAGACCATGTTTGTGCATTCGAACAACAGCAAGTTCTGTTTTGGTTTTGAGAAAACAATTCCTGGTTTGCCAACAAATTGTGGCGCTTGACGCCATAGTCTTTGGCACCAAAGTCTTTTTGAGGGCTATTGGAACAACACAGTTTTGTGTGAAAACAACACTGACAACACAACACTTCCCTTTATTCATGACCGAATTTGTTGAACACAAGAAAACAACACACCCCCGCCATGCTAAAACAAAAGAGGAAAGGAACGGCAGCGGCACCACAACCGGCACAGCTGATTTCCTCAAACGTTGGAATTTCCCACTGCTAGCTTAAGCTACCATTCCCAGAGGGTCGCTGACAGCCTGCAGATGGATTTGTCCAAGTCCAAGTAAAAGGTACTTCACAATCCAATGGGTTTCTCATCATTCACACCATTAAAATTACGAAACATTGAGATAGTCGCGATTTCTTGGCAAACCCCCATGTTTGGAAACAGCCATATCGCTAAGCCACTAAGCACTAAAACCGTTTGAACAAATACTTCGAACCTCAGTACTATCACCAAGGCCACAAACTTTCACCAGATTAATCCCTTCCTTTTAATATCAAACGCACCTAAGAAACTATGATTTGTTGTGAAGGCGGTTTACACATATTTGACTATTCTGAAAAGTTCGGCTATTTTGGGACAGCTACCCCGGATCCTAATCATCATTTCCAATGAGGTGGCAGTGGGGTTGTTATAATAATTCCATTCATATCCACCCAATGTTCCACCAATCTAACATTAACACCCATGAATATCCCATTAATACCCCGTTAAACCCCATTAATATCCCAGAACCCTCATCAATATACCATTGATACCCCATTAACCCCCTTCCATTTACCATTGATATCCCACATTAGGCTGGAACTTATATGCCATCAATATCCAATGAAATTCTCTTTTATCCTTGGTTTCTCAGATTCGTCCAATTTCTGGCGGCCTCACGGTCTGCCTCTTGTCGTTCCCTCTTCAAACGCACCTGATTTTTCATCAGCGTCTTGCGGCTCAGCTTACTGGTCTCCGAACTTTGATATTGATTTTCCCATTCATTCATATTTGATTTTCGCAGGTATAAGCGTCCATTTACAAGGGATTTTCCAGCAAACCATGTTTGATTATTAAAGGGTATGATTAATCAGCAATGAAATTGGAGTTCTGCTTACAAACTTAGCTAACTATGGGGCACCACATTGCAACTTCGGGGTATGGTTTTCAATACACCCAAATGGTCGAAACACGGTTACGATTCGTAAAAAAAAGGAAAATAAAAGTAACCATGGTAAATGGTTGGTCGTCGGGCTTAACGCAATTATACATACCGAAAATCGCACAAGGGTCGTGTCTGCTGACAGGTGGAGAACCTGGAAGCCTAAAACATATGGCTTTCCGCTACCAAAACTGACCATGAACTGCTTGATTGGTAAAATCCCTGTTTGTTTTGTGTGATATGTGGAAAAATATACCATGATATACCTGGTCTTGGTTGGACACATCCTCAATATCTTTTACCCTGGTAATCAAACATGGCAATGGACGATCCCCTACAACTGCAGGGTTTAATGGGAAAATCACCCATACATGGGGGACTCTCCATTGCCATGTTTGATTACCGGCGGGTATATTGGTTGATGTCTTTGGTTCTTGGATAATTAAGCCTCTTATTTACAGCTCTTCAATACGCTTTCTCTTGTCGACCGTCTGATTTTTGCCAAGCCGCCATCATCTCAGATTTCTTCCTGGGCTGCTGCGGTGCTTGGTCACACAAACTCAACATATCTCGATTTCAAAGAGACTCCTCACGACGTAAAATTATCCCGGACGAATCAAGAACACCGGTATACCATAAACAGATTGCAAAAGCAGCAACAACACACACAGGACAAAACTCGGCACACCCCAACATCGTGAATATGACACGACATCAAGCTGTAATTCTTGATTACTGGAACACCGAGCATTCTTCATGGACCATTGTGGGGAGCAAGGCGAAACAAGCATTCAGTTCTTCGCTGTGCATCTTTTTGCCAGTCGATTTCTTCTTTTTCTCTTTCTTCTTTGTTTTCACCTGCCAATGGCTGTAGTGAGGAAAGTCACTGTGTGGAAAAGCCAAACAACAATGATGACACCATTCAATCAAATTAGCTAGTAGCAGCTAGCCATCCCCTCAAAATTGGGCGGGCTTAAATCCCAATAGAAACATTTTTAAGGATAGGAAAAAAAACTGAAGGTCACGTTTGCCCAGACTCAGACCTTCTTGGTTTTCTTCGTTTTCTTCTTGGAACTGGAGCTCGATGAACTCGAGCTGCTGGCGGCTGGCTGCGTGGCTGGAGCCTTTTCTGTCGCAGGGTCCTGGTCACGTTTTCACACGCTGGAGCCCAGTTGAGGAAACATCGGTGACCGCCATGAAAAGGCAAGGTATGTTCCTGTCTTAGTTTATATTTGAAAATCCCTGGAAGGGCCTTATCTTCATCATCTTAGTATCGGCCATGATCGATACAAGGAAATTGGCCTACAACCATTACCCTCATTTTTTCTAATGCACCGCAGCAATTTGTCCCAACATACAATAATAGCTGGTAACCATAGGGTTTTCCCAGAAAGCCATGACATCCTTAACGCGTCCTCCGCAGCACGTGTGCTCTGAATCTCCAGTTGCTGTTGGAGCTTGTCTCCGATGAACTTTTGAAACATGCGCTTCCTGAGAAGGGAATCGGACAAAATGAGGGTATCCAACTGACCACAAAAATGTATAGAAGGGAATAGATTCCGAAGTTGTTTTAAGTTATATCTTAAGTTATTCACAGGCTTCCCACAATATTTCCTCAAGCAACACCTGACTTGGGGAGGTTGAAGCTGGTGGCCCCAGATCAATACAGGCTTAACACCCTCTTGGAGCTTTTCTTTACCAACTTCGTGGTCATGAATCAACTGTATCAAGGATCAATCACTACTGGGGTTGGCTTATGTTAAAGCAACAAGAAGTAGGTGAAGGTCCAACTGATGCAGTTGCTGCCCCTTACAGCGTTGGAAGGTCATAGTTCATTTTTTAAAACAAATGCAGGAAAATTCAACAACCACTGAAGTTCATCGGATTTAACAAGTAAACTCTTACAGAGCCTTACCTTTACCCCCAAGTTGAATAGGTTAGAGCCAAACTTTTAGTTGTAACACGGCCCCAGCAAATGGCCCTAGGCGCATGGTCCCTTCTGGATCTGCCACGTGAATGCCGCGTGACCAGGCGGCGACTTTGGCCGACCTTGCCCAGACGACCACAGGGGTGTCTCCAAAACGAAACCGAGGGAATTGATCATCAAAAGTCGCTGTTTAGGTTCCAAAAGTAGCACCAATCTAGGAAAAATGGTAATCAACCTTTAAAAACCTTAGACTTATCCATGGGGAACATGAACAAAAAGATATGGAAATCCATGGGTTTCAGTAGGAAAATGATCTACTTCGAAAAAGTCATGGGGATTCAGCCTCCCGCAGGGGTGAGCCCCAATAATGGACCAATATAGTATAGATGTTGAAAATCCGACCTTATTGTTGTGGTTGCTGGTGGTTCATATAAACCCTTGATCTTTTTCACATCAACTTACCATCGTTGTTTGGAGGTGATTATATCCCCATGACGATACACATGGAATTTAAGTCAAAATTTTCAGGTTCAAGTTGTTGCTCTGTTTGGGGTTTGCTTGGGGTCGACCCAGGGTGGGGCTTGGCCATAAGCATCTCAGCTCGGTTGATTTAAGCAATGAACAAGTGGGATATCTTTATCAACAGTTGGCATACACATTGCATACACATTGCTTTTGTTTTGGTGGTTGCTACCAACGAGAGTGGGGTGATATGGAGAGAGAACTTGTCGCTCAAATGGAATGTGTGTAAGCCGGCAGTCAGCATATGCAAAAAAATCAAGCATAAACAGCATGGCGGTATGAAGATAGTACGAGTACTTTTAAGAAACACCTGCTGGTTGTGATTGAGAAAAAACTCACACACAATACGGCATGATATTGCGTCTAGTATCAGCATGGTTCTGATTGAATATTCAGCATATTGGAAATCAACAAACAAACCTCTGTCCGTTCTGCGATGGACATCCCCTTCAAGAGGTAAGAAGGGTCAAGTCGGGATGGATTGATTCTGAAAGGCAGCAAGTAGTATCATCGTATCAACATATCGGGAAGTAGAATGATGCCTAAATCCGAAAACATAGGAAACAGAAGTTGTGCGAGGTTTTTCTCTTACTAAACGTCATTCTATGACGCCATTCTTTGATTGGCCCCAAATCCAGGTACCTTCGATTTTCAATGAGACGCCCAGTCATCTGCCCGGTCGTCGCCTTCGCGCATTCTCTTCCAATGTTCCGCGCGCGCTTTCTGATCGATGAGGAAACTCCGAAAACTCGTGTTCAAAGTCCATGGCACAAGATGCTGTTGATGTGGGCCAGAAGCTCTAGAGGAATTGGTGACTTCAACTTCAACGATGAAAGCATTTGCTCTTCAATTTAGGTTAATCTACCGGGTGATTCCAGCCGCGGATGCGACGGAACTCAAAAATGCTTTGAACCCGCCAGCGTCCCGAAGCCACAGTTTCTCCGGAATGATTTTCAGTCATCATATGAGGACTAGGTGTAGAATATATATATATATTATGTATCTTTATCTATCTATCTATTTTTGATTCTATTTCTACTAATCATCAATTGTCTTCATGGTATATTTACCAATCAAACTAGTTCAGCAACTTGCTAAAAGGCAGGACGCTAGTCTCATCCTGAGCCCCTGGACATTGCGTAGATGTAGAGGTACATATACCAAGTCAACAAAGAATGACCAACATCAAGCTGGGTGCCGTTAGAGAATTCCCACCAAAGAAAGGTTTCTAGCTGGGAATATCACGGAATATCAGCTCTAAATATGGGATTTTCCCGCGAGCCAGCCACATTTGTTGGGAGGCTACACCTTTTACGAGATGTGGTGAATCACTGGTGAGGTCGTCAACGGCCGGAGATGTTGATAACATATGGCAGTTTGAAATGCAATTTCTTCCGACAATCTCAGGTACACTGCACAAAACTTAAATATAGTTATATATGTATATATGTATAAATGCATTTGATGATCACTGATTTCATGATTTCTCCGTGATCATACCCACGATCCTTCTGATTTCATCATGTATAGTAACCCCGCAAAAATGCCGAACGCTTGGAAATGCTGAAATTCACAGGAAAAAATCATCAACCTACCATGCTGGAAATACGTTTCGTTTTTTTTGGGGTTTACGGTATTGCAATCAGAATCACCTGGATGCACACCTTCACCCAGAGGTCCTCCAAAGTGATCCCATGACCCTGGGTGGGTGGTGCCCAAAGGAAGGGCAGCGTTTCTCTTACGAAGGGCTACGAAAAAATGGCTATGTTCAGGTGAGTTTGTCTGAAGATGTTTTGCTCCCCATTGGAACAACTCTAAAAGTAGAAGTTTCCATCCCAACAAACCTCCGTTAATCAAAGATGGGAATTGGTAAAGCTCTATAACCGGAGTTTTTAATCTGCGAACTGAGAACCATCTATGATTTATAGATGGCTGATTTTCCATTGTCATGTTTGATTACCAGAGGGTACACAAGTTTATTTTTGCCATCATAAAATTGCCATTTTGGGAAATCCCCTATCGTGCAAAAACACAAGCAACTCGATCAGAATCGTATTGTTGGTCATGAATTCCATGACAGACATCCCGATCCACAAACCGGTTGATTTCATATCCAGAATATGTTCAGGAAAAATCCACCCTAACCCATTTCCAGTGTGATTAGCAACAAACCTTTGTTTTTCCAAGTGTAAGCATGTCTCTCTTGAATTGTTGTTTCCCTGACATTCAAAGATACTGATGGCTATTTTAGCGTCTCCCCCCTTTTTTGGGTTGTATGCCCCAATGATATCGGAATAAAAATGGTTTGGGTAGGGCGCAGGGGAAGATATGGGGCTTATATTCTCATCAAAATGGCGGGCATATATCCTCATACTGTTGGTTCTACCCCCCACGACGCTTGTCACGACGAAACATGATACCCTAATGATGTGCCGGTTTGAATATGATATACTTATACAAATATATATATATATATTTGTAATGGGATGTATCCACAACATATGTTATATATATATATACATGTATATATATATATATCGGTTCTATATTCCAATTGTTTGATTCATTTTTGCTATAGACACTATGCTTTATTCCATGTCAGTCCATTACATTCCATGGTTTAACCATGTTCAATTTAGTATATTTCATCTTCATCCCATGATTTTCCCATGATCTTCCCATATCAAAATTCTTGGAGCCCCGTGTTGCTTGATATCGCCCACCTCTTTAGCTTTGGCAACTCTCCGGAGGGAGCTAGGCCAGGCGCTGGAGTGCCTGGAAGCTCTTGAGGCTTGGCCAGCCCACATTGAATGGAAAATACAGAGATATTCTGTCATAAATTGACTGGTTGCTATGGAAAATCACCAGTTTTCAAAGGTAAACCAACTATAAATGGCAATCTTCAAGAGCCTATCTTACATTACCAGGCATGACCCAAAAACAAAACCATGTGGCTATGCTTCTCTGAGAATCGATCGGAGCAACCCTGAATTTAAGGGAAAAAGTGGGGATGCAACCCGGAAGGACAAAACTGCGGCTTTGACCGCAAGACCAACTAGAGATCAAATCCACAGCCGCCACAGCTGCCATTTCCGATTCAGCGCGGGTCGAGTTGCCAAAAGACTACGTTGCCAATGCGGCGCGTTGCCAAGTCCTGACGAAGGAGAAACAGCAAGCAACAGAAATAGACACACCTTTGGCAAACTGTGGATATATGTTGGGGATATGTGGTGCTAAATGGTGGGAACAGAAACCTATCGGGATATATGCGGACATATCGGAAACAATTTTCGGCATCAAATGATTTTGACTTATGATGGGAAACCATGGACAAACAATGAATTAGCCAACAAACGATGATTTGGTTCACAAACTGCACATGTTGCTGCACATGGATGTCCATATCACCATACATCTGTAGAAGTATAAGAAACATGTACACCCGGAAACCAAGTTAGACTGTGATCAACAGTCAAGCCCACGGGGAAGTTCAATTCTACAAGTTCTACATATATACAAAACTACGCATATTTGCGTTTAAATACCATGGGGTAACCAAACGTAGCCATGCAAAATATCCCATGTACTGTGTATATATATAAATATATATATATATCGGTATAGATTGTTCTCCCGGAATTCCCATTGACACATCCATTTTTAAGGGGATTTTCCATTGCCATGTTTGATTCCCAGGCGGTATGCGGTAATATATGCTTATTTTATATGCGACCTAGCGATGAAAAATCACCGTTTGGAAAAACGGCAAGTCATAGTTTCTTTAACCCATGTTCATTGGCCATCCATATTAAACCATGTTAAATAAACAGATAATATTTCCCATGAATATCAGTATCCCATAAGATCCACGCATTTGTTGTTTAAGTCCCTATGAACCACCATAAACCAAAAAAATCTTATTAACCCCCATGAATCATATTAAAACATCGTTGATGGTTGATCCCATGAAATCCCCTTTGACAACTTCAGGGTGAGCACTCTTCATGGGTGCTGACCGCTGACCCAGAAGACATCAGCGTCCGTCCCAGGCCCATGCCTTTTCGGACAAGGGCTGCAAGCACCTGCAGCTGGCAGGCTGCGGCAGCTGGATGTTCAAATGATGGTCATTGGCTACAGGCTTATCTATGTATATAAACATTTATGTACACGTCCCAGTGAAACAATAAAACTGTGGAACTTTCCTCACATACTATCTACAAAGGGATACGATTAAAGTTCAATCAAATATAATCTGGCTGAACCATACTATTTCACATTAGTTCACCAACTCAAAAAAAACGTTATCAACTACCCCCTATACATTCACCGTCACTCCATGACGTCACGAAGAGAGGTCGTGATCAAATTCAGCCAAGCAAATATGCCATTACCTGTTGAATTAGATATCCTAATATGTATATATATATATATGCCATTAATGTTCTCCCCCAGCTATGTTAAACTGCAGCCCCTCTCAGGAAATCAGCGCCCGGACCTCCTAACAGCTCTGATGAACATGTCTATTGTACTGCGCCTGCCACGGAAAATGCATCTTGCAGATCCTCTTCAAATGTCCCACGCCTGCCATCGTTTTTGGAAATGCTACCAAACCCTCACGTTTTGCTCACTTTTGAGAAGGTGCACAATCCCTTGCGCCTGCCACGCGAAACGACATCTGAATGCCCAAAAGTGGTCCGTACCTGGTGTGTTTTGTACATTTTGACTTTGAAATGTGCTTCGCGCGACAACGGTGTGCACTTTTTCGACATCTCAACTTCCAAAAGCGGTCCGGAGCTGGTGTGTTTTGTACATTTTGACTTTGAAATGTGCTTCGCGCGACAACGGTGTGCACTTTTTCGACATCTCAACTTCCAAAAGCGGTCCGGAGCTGAGGTGTTTTGTACATTTGGGCTTGGAAATGTGCTTCGAGCCACAACGGCGTGCAATTTTTTATCTCTCATCTGGCCAGCTGGCTCCGCACCCGCCGCTTTAGCGAGCCTACTTTGCGACCCTATGGAGCCACAAATCATTGGAAAAACACAGTGTCTCGTGACTTTCCTACCTTTTCGCGCACCTGCATCTTCTTTCTTCTGACTCTTTCTCTTCTCTGATCTTCTCTTCTCTATTCTTCTGCTGCACCTCTGCTTTTCATCTGTCCATATTGTCGGAAGTTTGACTTCTAAACTTTCTTCGATCAACGGATAATAATATTTTCCAACGTTCTCAATGGAATCAAAATAGTGACAATGATACTACTTATACGCATATCCAAGTCTTTGTCCTACTATATCCCACTAAGTCCGATTAAATCCTGGTAAATTTACCATGGCTAAGAATGATAATTTTCCAAAGCTATGGTAAATTAAATCATGTGCAGGTGATTGAGGAACGTATGAACAACATAAGCTATTCTGGCATATGATGCTAGGGAATATAATATATTGTAGATGTTCGGTAATACAAATTACCACAGTTATGGCCCTTAAGAGTTAAAAATGGGATGAAATGACTTTTATACCTGAAGTTATTCATCATGAAACAAATCCATTTATGACTGTTAAAATCTGTTAGTTGGGCCCTAGCCGCAGGGCCTCGGAGCTCGCTGTAGCCGATGCCGCGGCACCTGGATTCCATCGGTGTCTGGAGCGTTTCATGGACGTATGGAAGAACACATGGCGTTGTTAAACATTGGAACTGTAAGGTAGCTTTGGAAAAACATTTGAAATGTTTTAAGTTATAATCATCTTAAATGAAAAACACACCATTAAAAATATAAGGTAAATGGGCTTAAATGCTACTTACCATTATTAATGTACAACCGGCCGAAGATTTAGTTGACTTTAGTTGGCTGAACCTATATGTATTAAACTATCCATAGGTATCCCTGAATTTTCGGTTACCTCTGAGATAAGCAACTGGAAGGTGATGAAAAACCTACTGATTTTGAGGCTGGTTACCTACCTGATAGGTAATCGGAAGGTGAGGGATTGGAACACTGCGGTTTAAATTTGTTCAAGATTCAAGCGTGCAATTTCTTTAAACAATGTTTACCCAAATGGGTCCAATGAAAACACATGGATTTTTTTTGGTCTATCACAGGTCGGCGTGCACAAAAAACAAAGCGGAGAACATTGCAAGAAGAATTCAGCAAAAGTGTCGCTGGTTGGTGCATTGAACCCGTCAAAAACTATTGAAACGATGAATAACTCATTTCAACTACCACAGGTATACAAAGTTAGCTGGAAATCATCGCATCAAACAAGGATGCAAAGAAACACATTTTGACTTACAACCACTACGTTTAGCCAAGGCAGTTATGCTGGTCTAAGAAGAATGACCTGTCCCATACTTCACGTCCTGAATTTTCATATTACAACCCGCAACCTGTCCAGATGCAAAGGAACTTTCGATAAAAAAGGGTTTCCATGGACTTCCCACAATGCTCCTATAAATATCCCATAGCCTGCCACATCCTCCCAGATCCAAAAATCCGCCGCCCCAACCTGCAGCGTCAAGTCGTGGGCAGCCCCGCTTTTCTGCCTTTTGCGCTGCAAACCATGCAGCCTCAGGGTGGTCTCAGCAGTGTGGAAGAGCCGTGAAACATGAGTTCCAAGGTCTAGAGACCATTGCCTCCCAGAATTGCTTGATGGGAAACCCGACATTCCAGATTATATCTGGGGCGCATGGGGATTTAACCGCAAAATGGGGTTGTATGACCAGGCATAAAGGACGTTTAAAATACAATGTGCCATCGCAAAGCACCTAAACCTAAACGATCGAAACACGTCTCCGGGAAAAAACATGAACAAAAACTAGTTCGTTGTATCTTGACACACACAAAACTGTCACAGTATCATACACAACCTGCGTGTGAGATTATCATGAGAAGGTGGATTGATCTGCCACTGGACCCCCGCAAATCGTCCCAGAGACCAATCTGTGTTCTTCTGCTCAACGCCTTTTGGTCGCATTCCTACGGATGACCGGTGCTGTGCGGAAGTGGGCCTGGGTGATGTGATGAAACAGGTGTGTGTATATATATATATTACAATATATACACGTGTTGAAGCATGTGTGCACATGTATATGTATACATTTTAGATGTGTATATATATATACACAGTCACGGACACTCAGTTAGAATATGAAAAATTAAGATTTATTAAACGAAAATTCACAGAACATAGTAGTTCCGAACATTGATTTTATTTGAGATTTAAGATGAGGCCATTTAGCACTTAGAATATGAAAAATGCAGTTAGAATATGGACAAAATATCCAAGAACCAATGATTTCTTGATTTTTGCAAGGATGGCATGCACTTAGAATATCCCTAAAAATCATGATTATTCAAAAAATCACACAAAAATCAATATATGATCTAATATTGTATGGAAAAGTCATCATCTCGGGTTTAGGACTGGTTGAATAGTAGGCTATTGTGTACATATATATATATATATATATGTATACACAGTGAGATTACAGTTACAGTACTGCAAGTGTGGATTGCTGATATGTATTGCAAAATAATAGTGTTTTTGATGAGACGTATTGCAAAATATTGGTTATTTATTGTTACGGACATATTATTTTGCATATTCTATCTGCATTATTAAACGATATATTCTAACTGCTATCTGAACCAAATAAAATCTCTAAAAAAACCATATTCTATCTTATTCAAATAATTTATAATATTCTAAGTGGTTGTCGGTTATAGTATATTGATCATGTATGCAATATAGATTGCAGATCTAGCCACCTGCTTTAGGACCTTGTGATGATCTTCGTTTGGAACCAACAATATGAGTGAAACCATGAAGTGTTGAGGTCAATAATGATATGGAGGTAAAAAAATCGAAATATCTGAAACAAAAACAGTACAGAATAGTTATGCATGTATGTATATATATATATATTTATCACCGTGCAAACCATGCAGCTATATGCAGTTACTCCAATCTCTATTTGATGTCTCTCTAGAAAACACGATCTACCCTTTCTTAGATGTTCATTGAAAAAAAACGAAGCCCAAAGACCACACGTCTACCTCTCATGAACAACTGCCGCTGGATACTACAAGTTACTTTCACCACCTTTTAGAATCTCATGGGATATTCAAGTCCTTTGGCGGAGCATCACGGTCCTTAACTAAGCGGTTGATAATCCGAGTTAGGCCAGGAACTGGCCCCAAAAAAATCACAGATTCCCTACATCAGTTATGTCCATGGGATGAAATGCCACTGCAACTGATTGGTTATTGCTTAAATGATTGTAAATTAGCCATTTATAACTGACATGGGGCCATAACTGCATAGATACAATTGTAGATTTTAGAGATATAACGCTTTTCACAGTACAAAATTTATAGATCTATAGATTTAACATGTCTAACTAAATTTCCACACATTTTTTTCGGCCAAGTTGGTCCCTTGGATAACTCGTCTTATAGATTCTCCCCTCGCTCCGTAGGTTCCCCAGCCGATGGGACTTCTTCGAAGTCGCAAGGACTGCGCCTCGGACGCGAGCACATCGAGGTCATGTGCAAACAACATCAATAATGCCAACCCCGGATTAATAAACCATGGCTGGTTGGTGGTATACCTACCCCTCTGAAGAATATGAGTTCGTCAGTTGGGATTATAACAGAGCTATTGATGGATACTCTCTGGTAATTTGATACAGTTTGCTATTGAAAATTGCCATAGAAATAGTGGATTTACCTATTGAACATGGTGATTTTCCATAAATTATGTAAACGTTTACCAGAGGGTAATGTCAACCGCGGATGAATAAACCATGGTTTATGACAATTAGGGGGGTATTCCCCCAATAGTCATGATTTGATACTTTTTTATGGTACCTTCGCAATCAAACAGCCGTTTGGGGTTTATTAATCCAGGGTTCACACTATATACATTATATATATACACAATGTGGGGCCTGCTGGATAGCTAATTAAGTTGGTTTATAACTCCAATAACTATGGTTTATTATACTTATAACTATAGTTAATGGGGTTTACAAACCAACTTATAATTGGGGGGCCCCACATTGTATATATTAATGTATGTACACATGAGCCGTGGCGAAAACCCCCTATGTGCAACGCAACATGAAGTGTGTTCACCCAAGTACATCAGACGTGTGCAACGTAACATGAAGTGTGTTCGCCCAAGTACAAAAGACGTGTGCAACGTGACATGAAGTGTGTTCACCGAAGAAAATCGATGATAACGTAGACACAGAACATTATTACACCCCCCCCAATCCCCCCCCAATATATCACAACGCAAAAAAAATGCAAAAACGCTGGGCCGGTTTTCGGGCCGTAAGCATATACATGTAAAGAGATACGTGTATGTATATATATATGTATATTATTGTTATATATACAGTGGTATATATAGTAATATATACTTCTATACATGTGAGCAACGTCAAAAAAAATCCAAGTAAGAAAGCTATATGGGATGAGACTAAGTTGGGCCCGCGGAAGTGAAACCCACGTCCGCGGAAGCACGCAAAAGCGCTTGCGGAAGCCGACGCTGATCGTCTGATCGCGGCAGGGCCACGGAAGACAAGTATAGGATTAGAAGAGAGTGACACTTCTGTTGTACTTGGGTGACCACACTTCATGTTACGTTGCACACGTCTTTTGTACTTGGGTGAACACACTTCATGTTACGTTGCACACGTCTTTTGTACTTGGGTGAACACACTTCATGTTACGTTGCACACGTCTTTTGTACTTGGGTGAACACACTTCATGTTACGTTGCACACTTCTGTTGTACTTGGGTGAACACACTTCATGTTACGTTGCACACGTCTTTTGTACTTGGGTGAACACACTTCATGTTACGTTGCACACGTCTTTTGTACTTGGGTGAACACACTTCATGTTACGTTGCACGTCTTTTGTACTTCTGTTACGTACTTGGGTGAGTACACTTCATGTTACGTTGCACACGTCTTTTGTACTTGGGTGAACACACTTCATGTTACGTTGCACACGTCTTTTGTACTTGGGTGAACACACTTCATGTTACGTTGCACACGTCTTTTGTACTTGGGTGAACACACTTCATGTTACGTTGCACACGTCTTTTGTACTTGGGTGAACACACTTCATGTTACGTTGCACACGTCTTTTGTACTTGGGTGAACACACTTCATGTTACGTTGCACACGTCTTTTGTACTTGGGTGAACACACTTCATGTTACGTTGCACACTTCTGTTTGTACTTGGGTGAACACACTTCATGTTACGTTGCACACGTCTTTTGTACTTGGGTGAACACACTTCATGTTACGTTGCACACTTCTGTTGTACTTGGGTGAGTACACTTCATGTTATGTTGCACACGTCTTTTGTACCTCGGTGAACTCACTCCATGTTACGTTGCCCATTTCTGTTGTACTGCGGTGAACACACATCGTGTACTTTTGTACAAAGACTGTGCGCCGTGTCTAGCGAGGCAGCCCAAAGGTGCTTGCCGATACTGGTACAATAGATACTTGCTGGAAGGCCTGTAAAAAGATGCTGCCAGGTAGCCTGTCTAGCCAAAGTCCAATGATCATGACATATGTCAAGGCTTGGCAATGGCGATACATACATAGAAATGCTGATGTGTGTGATATCACTGCAAAGACGGTCCGGAAGTTGAAGTGATGGAAAAGAATCGCTGGCGCTGTGGCGAAACGCAACGCCATCCAAAAAACGTAGCGTATTTTGAGGGTGTTCAACATGCATTTTTGAACTCCCACTGCAATAAAACAATGATTTTTCATAAATCCCAATGGAAATGAAGTGCCAAAAGACACCACCATGATATAAACAAGTGGCAAATGCCACGTTTTCAACAAGACGAAAATCACAACGAACATGAAAATTGATGAAAATGCTGGGCCGATTTCCGGGCCGTTCGGATGTTTATGATATGTATATGATCTATGATCGTACAAGTAATTTGTTCAAATACCGTCTTTACAATAAATACATATATATATATAATATGGTGTGCGATTGCAATTTCACCCTTCTCCAACACCCAACATGTTGTCGCATATCCAACGTCCATACCGTGCAAAAAATCACGGATAGAGTTCTTCGATTTTTGGAGGTAGTGGTTGCTTTCCAAATACTACTGTAACGCAATTTACCTTCGTTGGCTCCACCATCCGTTCCTGGAAGTTATGAACGTCATATGGAATACATGGATAATATCTACATGTCTAAATGTATACAGTGCCCCCCAAGACCAAGCCTGAAATGCATCCTTTTGCAATGTTTAGCGGTATTTGTAGCGTTTTTAAGTTTTGCCTTCAACCGTTCCTTTTTTGTCATTGTTTTCCTCCTTTCTTCTAAAAGAAGCTTGGATATAGTCTACATACACTTCGCAAGTGGAGATGATTTGTAAGTTCCATCCATTAAAAAGATAAAAAAAACTCGTGAATTCCAAGGCTCAAAAAATGTTCGGCCCTAGCTGCATAGCTTCACAGATCAGCCACTTCTCTGTTTTTGCCAAAACCTCGTAAACATAAAACAACAACAGCTTCGAGAGAATGTTGGTTGGAAGCTCAAAGGCTTTTCTGATTTGTGTTCCCTCCGTTTATTTTTGGCTTTCGTTGGTTTTTGGAACGTGACCAAGACCCAAGCAAGATCCTACTGTTTGTTTTGTCTTTTGGCTTCTGTAAAAGCATTCAAGTAACATGACGAAAAACCACACAAAAAGACTCCAGCAGACAGGCCTTGAAGGAGCCTTCGCTTCCCGCACCATGTTTTTTTTTTTGCTTGGTTGTTGCCATTATAACATGTCATGAACATGTCCCATGCAAGTCATTCCAAAGCCTCAAGCCGAAGTCAAAGTAGGGGACACTTTTGACAAAGAGGAAAGGTGCTGGAGATTAGATATGTATATATAAGTTATTCGGAACCGCCCTCATTCATGGATTATTTACATACAGTAACCGGTCCTAAGTAAAATATGGCAGACCCGAGGGCCCTCATAATTCTCATAGTCTACATATGTTTTTGGTTTCTTGGGACGAGCTGGAATTAGCGTCAAATTTATTTCAAGCGTTCAACATGTTCAACATCTAGACAATTCTTGAAATTTTTATATTGGTTTGGTTGATCTTCATCTTATTTTGGTATAGTTCGGTTGGTTTCTCAATCCGAAAAAAACATGAACGTTCGATGATGCAAAAAAAACGAGTGCTGGGCAATGACTTTCTCGCCGTCATAGTGGTGACCTTGCAGCGCGAATGATGTGCAATGTGAACATGGAGGTTTCCTAAAATAGGGGTACCTCAAATGGATGATTTACAATGGAACATCCCAACATAAAATGGATGATTTGGGGGTACCCCTATGTTAGGAAACCTCCTCATGTTCACAAACACAACGACCATCTTGATAAAACGCTGGTTGAAGAGGCGGTCGGGCAATTTCAAAAACTTCCCCACAGCAATTGTTCGAAACACATTTTATTTCTAGGTATTCTAGGTATCTTTACTGTACAATCCAAAGCAATCCCAAGCCCCAAGTGGCCCAAGAGTTTGAAAACGAAGTCAACACTTTCTTCGGCTTGGAGAACGGTGCGAATCATTCATCAAGAACCTGGACGCTCATGAGAACACGTGCCAGGAAAACACGCCTTTTCAGTAAGTCTGTAAGCGTTTACCAAAACAACGAAACAGCGCTCTATCCATGTTTTTAGTAATATAATATTGTAATTTATTATCATATATTATCATATCAAATAGCCATAATATTATCATATATTATCATTATTAGATCATATTAAATCTCACTCTGAGCTACTTTGTGTTTCAATCTCCGCAGGACGGCCCAAATCGGCGGCGAAAAGTGATCCAACTTCTGATAGAAACTCCTTAATGGCAAAACACGAGGAAACTGCAGCTGAAATCCACGGAAAGATCATATTTCCATGCCACAATGCCATGGAAATTTGGAAGTAGATCTGTGGCAGGTTCTGGATGGAGAAACGTATCAACTTCATGGTTCTGGCCATGTCCTCTGGCATACCACTGGGTGAGATGCCAGCAAGCATAGCGACAAACATGCGATTCGAGAATTCTCGATCATCGCCAGCTATCCATGCTGCCACTGATTGCAGAACATATGAAGTCAAAAGCATACCCAGCATCCACAGTTTGAGTGGATAATCCGAGTAGAAGGCGAGGACTGCACTGACACTGTCCAAATATTGCTCTGCGCACCATAGCAGCTGCAAGTTGAAGACATAGAACTCGGCTGCCACACCTGTGTATCCCAGAAGGGGCACCCTCCATGCACTGATCTGAGTCCTCACACTGGGACGTCCTGTATTTAACGCTTCTGTTTTCAAAGGTGCAATGACCTGCCATGGCAAGGCCAAGCCTTCGACTAGCAAATAGAAGCAGTGAGCCTCCCAGGTAAGGCCTTGCTGTTCAGACACCAGGTGAGCACCGAAGCAAATCCATGGCACACCAAAGGCCACAAGCATTTGCACCAGACCGAAGATGAAGTGGACCCCATCCCCCCAACGGAGAACCCTCACATCCCCGACCGGTTGCAAAACGTGATAGAGATAATCCTGGAAGATGAACCAAATCAAAAAGTAAGTCACAACGAAGGCTACCAGATCATACCAATCATACCAATCATGGGCCACTGGAATTCCTCCAGCGCTGGGCTTCACCGACATCGTGCGGGTCTCGTGCGGGTCTGTTGGAGGAGCACCACAACGAATCACGCAGAAACACAGCACGGCGATGCGCAAGTCGGCACGGCTCATCAGCATGCTGCGTGCTACGTGCTGAGAATGGAATGGGATGGGATGGGATGGGATGGAATATGCATATGAGTTACAATTGTCCTGAGCTTCAGCTGAGGATAGTGCAAGTAGTGCCGCAAAACCAAGCAGCTTTGGCACTCGCAAGTAGCGCAAGATCTCGCACAAACAAACGTTGCCAAATCAAAGCCCCATGTCCATTGCATCTCTTTGACTCTAGAATGATTCCCAGACATTTTCGGGGAAAATTTGCAGGATACTCCTAGATGTTTGGAAAACCATCTCGTAGTTTGAGATATGGACAACTGCCATCTTTAATGAGGTTTCTATCATCTATCCTCTGTCCATAATGTTCAATTCCAGGCTATTTCCCATGATAAACTAACAGTTCGCTATTGAAAATGGCCCAATCGAAATAGTGGCTTTTTCAATGAAACATGCTGATTTTCCATAGTTTTTTGTATGTTTTTCAATGAAACATGGCTTTTTGTATGTTTTTAATGAAACATGCTGAATGTTAGTCATGTAACAGTTTACCAGAGGCTCCCATGAATCCCGGTGAACTCCATGAACTCCTGGGCCGCCACGCGGTTTTTTGCAACGTACCACCGCAGCTCGGCGATGGTTTTTCAATGCTCCACAACAAACCGGGTGGACACCGGCAACGACGTGGCAACCAACCAACCAAGGACCGTTTAGCCATTTTTAATGGGAAAACTCACCATTTTTAATGGGAAAACTATGGAACATCACCATGCTATTAATGGGAAAACTCACTATTTCGATTGGGGCCATTTTCCATAGCGAACTGTTAAATTACCAGAGGGTATGCTTTGAAGTTGCGTCTGTGGTGAAATATGATGAACATGGTTTTGCTACAAGAACAAAAGAACAAACAAGTGACGACAATATAGAAATATCATGAATATTGAGATAATGATATAGCAAGAAACATATGGCGTTCATGACAACACCAATGTGGTGATGACACTGATGGAACATTATGACCATAAAACAAGTGATACGTTTTTATTGGCACACATTCACATTCAACAGTCAACATCTTCCCAAAAACAACACATCGGTCTTCGCTCATCTTCAAGAAACTCATTGAAGAACTCTAATCAGCATCCAATTCCGGGTCATTTTCAGAAACACATCATCCCAGGTCCCATCCCCATCCCTAGCCGCTATAGCCATTTCCTTGTTGCTTCCCCCGTTTTGGTTCCCATAACGGGATCCCAGGCGAGTTCTTTACTGGCCAGGTCCTGAGCCATGGCCAGCAGCCGCTGCTCCTCCTGGTGACGGATTTTCCCATGGGGATTTTCCCATGGGAAATTCAGGGTTTCCGGTGAACTTTCCCGGAAAAAACATGAAAAAAACCATCCTAAAATTGTGGTTTGTGACTTCAGTTTGTGACTTGGAACATCTCGAACTGGTGAAAAATAGGTAAATCACCTATAGATATGGGGCAGTCTATAGTCTATAGCGATGTTAGGTGAACCCAGGGGCCACTCACTATTCACTAACATTGGGTATAACTTAGCAGCAAAACCGATGTTGTGGTTTGTTGATGGGATTGAGTGCGACTCATGGGAAATTTCCAATGATTTTATTTGCTAAGTTGGTGTATTAGCCAACCAACTATAGTGATTTGATACCTGCAAACCATGGTTGCAGTAGTTATTGTAGTTCAAGCAACTATATATATATACATATTGTATATATATCCCTTTCTTGGTATTCCTGAATAAATGAAACACATGATCACATGATCATGTTCACGATTTGCATAACCATTAAATGGATCATTCCGCATTTTTGGACACCATCCAAGTAACTATATGTGGGATATTTGGGGATGTGTCTAAACCCCTGGTGAACATCAACATTTTTGCTTGCTGCTCATAGATGTTCATCGCCCTAATTCAGCACCATTTGGTGGTATCTCAGATTTTTAGACAAACCCACATCATATTGCTGGTGATATATCCCATCAAATCCCATCAAATATTTTCATTTATATATATATATATACCCTGCGGCAATCAAACGTGGCCACGGGACATCCCCCATAGATGATTATCCCAGCTATAAATAAACCTCCATTTGCAAGAGATATTCCATTGCCATGTTTGCGCACCGGAGGGTAAGATATTTTCATAATGTAAGGATGTGTCCAAGTGCATTCTAAGAAGGCACTTCACCCCCTAAATCATACCCTAAATACTTCCTCACGAAGTACGGCTGGATCCACAGGGCATTCATATCCCGTGCATATGCCATGAAAACCCATGAAAAATCAATTCAATACCATTCATGTCCCAGCCTTTTTTTTACTCCATCCATAATCCATCAATGGTAGTTATCCAGTTATCCACCATCAAATTTAGGGAAAGGTTCCCTCAATTTTCAGACAAACCCATTCATCAACCCACTAGGGCGTCTGTCCTCCTCGGGCGAAAACTCAGGGGACTCGGCCTTCCGCCAAACGGAGAGAGCAAACGTGGCTGCAGAACTTGGGTGAAGATTTTTTTTTTTTTAAATCGGCAAAACATATGGTAGCACTATGCAAAAATAAGCGACAAATATGGGGATTGAATTGGAATTTTGTCGGAGATAAGGGCGACAAGCAACAATTCTGATGGCTATTTTTTTCGCTGGGATTTAACTGATTTGTTACCTCTTTTTGTGGTAATGTAGCCACGCAAATCAAATGGAGCTGCAACCCCAAGTACGCCCGCCAAATTGAAACGAGTCCCAAAAGACTGCCGAAGGGTTTTTTCCAGATCTTCAACTTGTCGTTCTCTATTTGCAGGTCTCTCTGGTATAGAGCCAGGGCGAAAACATATAATGTGATGTTGGGGAAAAGTAGAGGAGTCACGCTAAAACGTCAACCAAGGAATGATAAGCCTCCGGGCTGTTTAATTGGTGGGTTCATTTTGTTATCATACAACTTTTTTGGATTGACACCCCTAAATTGATCATACCATAATCAACCAGGGTGTTTTAATCAAGGTTGCCATTTAACCATTTACACTGTGGAAATCAAACATTGACATAGCTATGGAAAATGGCAATGCATATAGACTATAGGCAAACGATGTAGAAATGTGGCATTTTCGATGACTATGTTGAATAATAAGAGAGTACATCAATTTTCCTATTCGATGTTCAATGGGGACAAGCCCATCCACTAAACAACTAACAGGAAAAGGACAGAAAAACGATGTCCTGGGAGGGGTCCAAGTCAAAATGTGAGGCCATTTACAAATCATCCATGTGTGGTTTGACCTGGCTAGCCATTCCTGTTGAATGCTGGAAATCGCCAGCCAAAAAAGGGGCTTTCAACAAATTTGGGTACATCAAAAATCATTGGTTCCTTAGAGTCTACTCATTTCAAATACCATCTGGTTATTTAACATAGCCATGGTTTGTCGATGGCCCTAATCGAAATAGATGGTTTACCGTTCTTAAAAATGGTGATTTTCCATGGCGAACTGTTAAATAACCAGAGGGTATTTTCCAAGGACTTCTCAGATTTTCCCCGTTCCATGCGTGCCCACCTGTCGACGCCCAGTGGAATCTTTGGAATTCGTCCGAAGTGACCTGGGGAGCCAAGCTGTAGGCCGCTGCATCGTCCGGAGATTTCGTCCGAGGCCCAAATAGTTGTGCTACCCTCCAGTAAATTAACTTTCCCTATGGATCCATGGCCACTGTCTGAGAAGGTACGGCTAACCCCCTAGTCATCATACCCCAGTCACAATTCCTAAGAAGGTACGGCTGGATCCATGGGAGTAGATATGGAAAATTGAGCATACGGAAAGTCCACCATAGGAAGGCTATCAAGAAACATGGTGAGAAGGGTTTCTTCCCAGACCTGATTAAAGGGAATATTGACAGGAACCCCTCTCTTTTTTTGGAGGTCGACCAGCAGGGTTTTGGGTTTTATGGTGTTCCAACACTTTAACCAATCCAATTGATTTATGGTAATTCTTTTGGACCAAATATATTGGCTGAATGATTTTCAGTATACGGATGTCACCAGCATCAAGCTCTGTTTTTTGGACATGACAAGCTGCCCTTTTTTGAGCACAGTTTTGAACACATCTGATTTTCTGTGTTGATGAGCACAAGAAAAACCTGTTGGATGGGACTCTTTTCAAAGCGATTTTCCTTTAGTTAATCAATGTTGATAGTTCCCTTGTCTTGTCTGTATACATTCCCGTTTGCTTTGTTGATATCCCTTCGGGTGGGTCAAAGTTTGGCAGGATGTGTTTGTGCTTCTGGGTCTTTTCGAGCGGAAAATAACGGTAAACAATCAGCCTTATCATCTATGTTCATGGGCCATCTATAGAAAAGCAATGTTAAATCGCCAGAAAGTAATGGGACTTGTTTATGATGTCAAAACAACATACCATCTGGTTATTTAACATAGCCATGGAAAGATCACCATGCTATTAAGAACGGTAAGCCATCTATTTCGATTAGGGCCATCGACAAACCATGGCTATGTTAGTCATAACCAAAGGGCAACGGGAATCTAAATATGGCGATCATGGTGATCCAGTGGTTTTGCAGGAACCCTGTCCCCATCTTTTCCCCCTCTTTGCCGCCGAAACTGGCCGAAACTTGCCGAAACTTGGGGAAACTGGGCCCGACGGGGCTATGGTAGGCCTTATTTCCAAAAAAAATTACGCAGTGACCAGATATCTTTTTATAATAGAATATATGTATATATATATAAATATGATATAATGTCATAAATGGTGGATCCTCAAGTCACCATGGGTTTCAATACTCAGTCATGGTCATCTATGACATAGATGATTTGGAGGTACCACCGAATTTTAGGAAACCTCCATTTATAATCATTCCCTATGGATCCAAACACTGTCTGAGAAGATACGGCTAACCCCCTACATCATACGCAAACACTTCCTAAAAGAAGGTACTTGGGTCCATAGGGTTTTATATACATAGAACAAACATATAATCACTTATATATGTGTATATATATATTCTTATACATATATATATATATGATTATAAATGGATGTTTCCTATACATACAACGAACATATAATGCCTGGCCCCACCCTTTGTCAAACTCTCCTTCGGAGGAGCTCCTCAATTCGCACCGTGGCAAACTGCTTGATGCGCATCGCGTGGCTCGTTGGCCGCTGCATCTGGGGGGATCCGTCTCAACTGCATCCAGTTGTCAAGTTTCGTTTTTTTGAGCGATGCATATTCATGGTAAATATGTATATTATATTGCGTGTATATATATATATATATATCAGAAATATTTTTCAAACTACTTACAAATTACATGACTGGGTGACTTTTCAGGCTAAGTGTGGAAGTCTACACCGATATGTCCAATGGTATCTGTCCAATATAAACCTATATATGTAAATGAAAGGGGTCAACGTGGGCTCAAGCACTGCCAGCTCCATGATCAGGCTAAACACTAAAACCCTTCATTTGACCTTCCATATTGAATTGTACTCATTGGACTCATCTCAAAGATGTATTTCTAAACTTAAAGCAAAACACATGTATTGATTATAAATTCTACAGTGTAAACATAGGGGCCATCTTTAAATTGTGTAAGCATGCATCCTCGTAGTTGCAAAACACACTTGTGCAGTACAGCACAGATCCAGGAATCATGAAAGCTCCCATGCCCTAGGCCCCTAGGCTTTGCAAACAGAACTCTTGGAAAAAGCTTGGTGAAACTTTGGAGCAACTGTGTGAAGTAAATACTCTAAATATGCACCCTACGAATGATCAACTATGATCCCCCAAAGACGCACTCCGCTGCGGTGGGGTCCTTCAGAAGCTCCCACTCTCGTCGGAGCAATTTGGTGAAACTGTTAAATGATCGCAACTTTGTGATGAAAAAATTTCAAGGACTCTGTTCACAACTGGCACAACTGGTAACAGTTTGATGAGCAGCAAAACCACTAAGTCACTATTGATCCTTGCTGTGAAAATCATTGACTGCAGCAGCCCAGCCCCGGCTCACTTCTGTTTATCAAAGTCCGCCAGTTCCAATAGCCTCGTCTTTGTGCCCGGGGCCAGTATGGGATGTAGCCATTGGTTCCATGGGGACCCCAAGGGGACCCTCATCAGTGGCAACACATATGACCTGAGGTCCAAGAGAGAAACTGGAAAGGTGTGTTCCAGTCATCGTTCGCAACAACTTGTAGCTTCTTTTCCTATGGACACCTCCTACATAAAACCCAGCATTTCTAGGTCGGTTGAAGTCTCGGAAAACATGAGGCTTCAACCGCATTTATGTCAGTTTACCAGTAATTCCACCATCAAGAAGTGTGAGATCTGCCAGTTGCAATTCGTTTGATATGAGCAACTGACAGGGTGTTTCGCATCCGTGGCTTAAGAATCATAGTGACTACAGCGAAGTTACTGTGCGGATGCCTAATAGAAAGAACATGTCGATTTACTAGCAGAACATTTATCTTATCTCGCCTGTTTCGCTTCATCAAACCAGAATTGCAACGTGTTCGACGGGCAAATCACAGTAATATCAGAATATTCACCAAACCGAAAAATTCCGAAAAACACTTTGTTTTAAAAGCACGTTGTTTTTGGATTAATATGCATATATAATCATATATATATATATCATATATATATATATCATATATATATATCATATATATATATATATCATATATATATATATGGACTATACGAAAATCATAGTAATTCATCCAAAAACCAATAGCTGGTTGGTGGTTTTAACCATCTTGAAAAATATCAGTCAATGGGAAGGATTATCCCATATATTATGGAAAAATAAAAAATGTGCCAAACCAACAACCAGAATATATCACATCACAGTAATATCAGTTTTTGGATTGGTTTTGCGATTTCCATGGTGAAGGTTTTTCTGAAGCCGCAAGGGTGTCAGTTGTGGAGGTTGAAACACCTTGGGAAAAATCTGGCCCATTTATGGTTGCTATGACTCATCCAATGGATGTACGAGTACAGTCATTCAGATCATCCCCATGATATTCCCATGATATTCACATTACATATATATATATCCCATTATACCACTGATTTTGTTGCTTGAATCGCACTTTTTGATGGTTAAAACCCCATTATGATTAGTGGTGAATTCCATTATCTTCCCATAAAGTTCTTGGTTGACACCCCATGTTTTGATGGTTGGTTGTATGTGAATATATATATATATATCAGATATCCCGATCCAGTAGATTCTGGCTGAAACAAAATATTCGGTGACTTGAACATAGCTGAAACTTGCAGCTAGGGATGGTTCCTCGAAATCCTAAACATAATTCCAGTAACGTCACGGTGAGGTCATATAATTCGTCCAAGTAATTCTATGTTCAATGATAATCCACCACAATTATGTCATCGCTATATCCCAGTGTTTTTTTCCCCATTGCATGGTTGGATACTAACTATTCCAAGAGTAGATGGCTCATTAACAATCCCATTAAATCTCGTTAAATCCCAATCCCATCAACATTCCCCTAACTCACCCAGAGATGTACAGAAACTATTCCCAGAGTAGATGTCCCCACAAACATATTCCCAATTCTCCAATGAACTATTCCCATTATATCATTCTTTACGGTAAATCATGACATGTCACACTGAAAGTGACGGCCATCAGGGACGATTCCCGTTCTAGATCCTAACCATCTTGATTTACCCGTTTAACATGGGGATTTTCCATAGTTCTGCTAGTTTACCAGCTATGTCATCTGTTAAGCTATGATCTGATTTGTTTGTTATTTAGCTACCAGTAGTACCGCACAAGGCGGTGGCGGAAGTTTCAAAAATAGGAAACCTATAGGAGAGCTTGGTTGTTGTGAATCCGGGATGGCAGAGCGCAGCCACTGATGGACTGAAAGGTGCTTGATCTCTCTCACTCTTTCTCTCTCTTTCTCTGACTATCTACCTACCTACCTATCTATTTTCTATGTATCTATCTATGTATCTATCTATCTATGATCTATTCTAGATGTAGTGTAGTGTAGTGTAATTTAGTGTAGCGGTGTGTAGTGGAGTGTAGTGGAGTGTAGTTGTGTAGTTCTGTAGTTGTAGTTGTAGTGTTGTGGAGTGTAGTGTAGTGTAATGTACTGTAGTGTGTGGAGTGTATAGTGTAGTGTAATGTAGTGTAGTGTAGTGGAGTGTATAGTGTAGTGTAATGTAGTGTAGTGTAGTGGAGTGTAGTGTAATGTGGCGTAGCGTGTTGTAATTTAATGTAGTGGAGTGTAGTTGTGTAGTTCTGTAGTTGTAGTTGTAGCGTTTTGGAGTGTAGTGTAGTGTAATGTACTGTAGTGTAGTGGAGTGTATAGTGTAGTGTAATGACCCGAAGCGAAGCGACATCTGAACCTCCAAAAGTGGTCCGAACCCCTAGTGTTTTGTACATTTTGACTTCGAAATGTGCTTCGCGCCACAACGGCGTGCACTTTTTCGAGATCTGAACCTCCAAAAGTGGCGCGAACATGTGGTGTTTTGTACATTTTGACTTCGAAATGTGCTTCGCGCCACAACAGCGTGCACTTTTTCGACATCTCAACTTCCAAAAGTGGTCCGACGCTGGTGTGTTTTGTACATTTTGACTTGGAAATGTGCTTCGCGCCACAACGGCTTGCACTTTTTCGACATCTCAACTTCCAAAAGTGGTCCGAACCTGGTGTGTTTTGTACATTTTGACTTCCAAATGTGCTTCGCGCCACAACGGCGTGCACTTTTTCGACATCTCAACTTCCAAAAGTGGTCCGAACCCCTCAGTTTTTAACACATTTCACTTCCAAATGTGCTTCGCGCCACAACGGAGTGCAACTCTTCATCTCTCATCTCCCCAGATGTCTCCGCACCCGCCGCTTTAGCGAGCCTACTTTTGAACCCTCTGGAGCCACAAGACCACGAAAAAACACAGTGTTTCGCGACTTTCCTACCCTTTTGCGCGCCTGCATCTTCTTTCTTCTGAAATTTCTCTTCTGACTCTTCTCCCTGCTGACTGCTTTTTCATCTCTCCATATTGTCGGAAGTTTGACTTCCAAACTTCCTTCGATCAATCGTTTCAATCTCCATAGCTTAGCTATGATCACCATTATATCACATTAGTTCTCCATTAAATCCATTTGCTGACATAAATCTGGAAATGGTGCCATTAGATACAATTAGTATCCATAGATTAGTTGTTTCATAATGGATTTTATCACAGATGGATACAATGGCGCCATTTTCATAAAACCATGGCGATATCCCATTTATTTTCTAGAAACAAATCGCTGGAAACATATAAACATATTATTTTCATAAAACCATGGCTATAAATGGGATGAAATAACCCCTATAACTGAGGTTATATATCATGAAATAATCCCATTCACAATTCTTGTTGGTTCTCCGTGGCGTGTTTCATCCCAGCAACAAATCAGCTCTCCGCAGCTCGCAGGGACGTAGCGCCAGCTCTCGCAGAGGTGTCTCGGCCTGGGCTATGGCGGCCACGAGGCCACGGGCGGCCACGGTGACAGGGAAGCCGTTGTTTTTCGCATGGTGATTGTCGATTGTCTAATAAATAGATATAAATAGTGGGATATTAAGGGGATTTAACGGATGATTAATGGATGATTCATGGATTCTTGATGGATTATGAACGGATTATGAATGGGATTTAGTGAAACATAAATCCCTATGGATCCAGCCGTACCTTCTTAGGAAGTGCTACTGGGGTATGATGACTAGGGGAGTTAGCCGTACCTTCTCAGACAGTGCTTGGATCCATAGGGAATGGTGATTTGGTGGTAATTTGATGGCATCTGATTGGATCAAAACAAGGTGGTGCCACACACATTGTTTGCTAAGTTGGTTGAACTAAGTAGTAAAAACTGTTGGGTCGATGATCGATGTATACATGATCTAATATCGATATATATATATAATAGTATAATTGTATATATATATATTACCTATATATCTATATGGTAAAGTAGCTTCGAAATGGATACAGCTATTTTCTTCGAAATGGATACAGCTATTTTCTTCACCACAAACACGGGGGTTTTTCGGCCTGCTCATGAAACTCCCGCTCCAAGACGTGAAAAAAAACCGGTGGCGCCATGAAACGGCCGCATCCTCCTCCTTGTCGAGATATCGGAGGATATGTGCCAACCGGTCCTGGCGAACATTGTTCATTTGGGGGGTTCCATAAATGGGGGTACCCTCGCAATTATATATATAATGGTTTTCTAAAATGGTTTTAATATCAGGAACAATTATGAATGATGGTTATATAATGATGGTTAATAAGGGCAGCATCTTATTGATGTATGGTTTAGAATGGCAAATCCTATTAAAATATGTGGATTATTTTTTTTGGATAGCCCTATTTCAGGAAAGCTCCATTTACAGATGGGGAGTCACAAATACTTTTTCAAGCCTCCCAGCCCGTGTATCCCACTTTGTGTGCGAAGTTGTATGATCACTATGTGTAACATGTTCAAAACATGGGTTATTTTCCCATGTTAGGGGATGGCCATGAATTCATTGACAGGGGTTTATTATAAGGACATTAAGTGCGGCACAAATGACCAAACGCCTTATGACATGTTTTGATCATGGTTTAAATGGCAGGTTGCACTCCTATGTTTCTTACCCTCCCCTTGCGGCCGTTCTCGGTCCTTCACGCCCTCTCCGCTTTGATATTCGCGCAAGAAACGACATACGTGCCACATACCTCGATGCGATGCAACCGCGGCACGAGTGTTCAGATCTTCAACATATCGGTAAACAAAGATGCACTTAGGTACTATGCAACTAGAGGTTTCACCGCTTCACCAATGTTTCATTTATTAATATATAAAACCCATTTAGATAAGCGTACATCCACAGCTTCATTTCAGAGCCGACCACGTTCCAACGGCTTGGGGACCTGGGATTACCCTCCGGTTGTCCAACGTGGCTGCAAAATCCACCGATGATGTCGATGGGCCAATGGGGATTTCCCTGCCAACCCGGGACCCTGGGTGTCCACTGCTGTTTAACCCATTTTGGCAACGCCTGGCTGTTTGTCGTTGTGGAGCACTTCTACGCAAATGACTTACTGATGAATCACTTTTTATCCTGCGAACTGTGCAAAATAATCCCCGTTTCTCGATTAAAACCTCATGTATGTTTTGCTGGGAAATCCCTGAACTTTGGAACACCCACCATTGTTGGCTTGGATTTGCATTTTCTCACCAAATCACTCCATGTGTTGTCATTTGGGGTCCAAATGTCTGGATCTACTTCTTCCATCCCATCCATGTTCAACAAAAGTCGTGGATTGCTGGATCTAACCGTGATGAGTTACATAAGTCAGCTCTTACCATTTATATGTTTCTAACGATGGGGTTGTACAGTTCATTTGACCTACCTGCGTACTGGGTTTGCATGTATAAACAGTTTCGAACCATGACTGCCAAGATCGCTATGGTAGTACTCTTTAGATATCTTTGGTACAGGTTATGTTGTTGGGAAACTCTATGTAGCTCCTTGGCTCCCCATTCTTTTTGGGAAATACGTATACCCCTCGTTCCGAACCGCTCCCTCCTAACCACTGGATAGCTCCATAAGACAGTACATGGCTTATAGCTATGACTATCTACTAGCAACTATTAGCCAGTTGCTTACAAATGCTTTCAAACTACAAATCAGTATACTCCATAACCATAACATCCCATAACAAGCAATATGCATCCCATAACCCTGGTTAGTACAGTAAGTCCCCTAAGTGGATGATCCTAACCTGAAAGAAGGCTATTTTGGGATAGTTACCCCTACAGTTCTCATCATTCCAGTGAACTCAGAATCATATAAATCATATAATCCCTGTAGTCATAAACCCCATGAATACTATCACAGTGACTATAACCTTGTATAGCTATGGGATATACAGTTAAATAGTTATAGTCACTGTTATAGTCGGTGTTTTATAATGGAGACTATAATTTTAACGGTGACTCTAGCCATTATTATCATTATAATAGATATAGATATATATATATAGGTATATATCACTAAAAAAACTATTCTCACTATAACAGTTATATATCAATAACTACTATCACTGTATGGTTATATATATATATTACTGTAACTGTTATTATAGGCTACTGTCACCACTATTATTTATCACCATAGCTGCTATATATCAATGGAGTTAAATCATTATAATCGTTATATAATGTTATATCACTAAAATAGTTACACATTCACTTAGATATCACAATAGTAATTACTGTAACTATAACAGTTATATTCTCACTATTGTTATATGATCACAACCGCTGTGGCGAGCCCCAAGGCACGGCGCGACTCGGCCAGCTGTGTGGGGCTGAAGCCCAGCGCGTTGGGCGTCTCCTTGACGCCCTGGCGCAGCAGCAAACGCACCTTGAGAACGACGCTGGGAAAGTCTTAAACGATAAGGAAAAACGATGGGAGTATATAATATAATCAAAATGTGTTACTTGTGGTTTTAGTTATTTAAGACACTAATGATTCAAAACTATTCAAAACTTGTATGTTTTGGCATGTTTTGTCAGGCGTTTTCCTGTCGAATCAGCTAAAACACACGACCCGAGAGTTGGATCTGTGGATGGATGGATGGTTGGGGCCTCGAGGGTTCAGGACTTAAGTTGAGCAGTCCATCTATGGTTGGTGGTTGAGCCCTACCCCTCTGAAAAATGATGGAGTTAAAGTCAGTTGGGATGATGAAATTCACATATATTCACATAATATATGGAAAAACATAATCCAAATGTTCCAAAACACCAACCAGATCTATGGTTTGAGACTTCTACAGTACAAACTCCTCCCCCTGTATATCCTCGCCCTGGAGTGCCCAAGGTCCATGCTGCCATGCTCTGTGCGTTGTTTTTCAAGCAAAGATATGGTAAACCTATGGCACACATCACCATTGCAGCTTGGACAACTAGAAATAAACCACACCTCCACCCCGCTCAAGGGAGGAATATGGATACCCATAGCTCCTTAGTGCGCTGCCCCTTACCCTCCGGTAATCATTCATGGCCCCTCCACCAGTTGGATCCACTGTAGCTTCCAAGATGCAGTCCCCAGGTGCCCGTTGTAGGCCGCAAGATGCAGGGGACTATCCCCGGCACTGTCCGGCAGCGCTAGATCCAGCTCGGGGTAGGCAGTCAGCAAATATTCTGGGTGCCACCAGGGGAAGACGAAGGGAGCTGGCCATGAAACTTGTGGATATATACCCAATTTATCATATATACCGAATCTATCGCAATTTTGATAGGGGAAAATGATTGCTTCAGCAGTGGTCTTGACCGTTTTTCACCAGCCGCATGCAATCCATCCATAGAAACCCCAGAAGCTTCCGCGGCTCTGATGTTTTGAAACCTTATAGTTTCTGGTTATTTAACATAGCCATGGGAAATGGCCCATTTATAGATGGTTTACCTATTAAAAATGGTGATTTTCCATGGCTATGTTAAATAACCAGATGGTAGTTTCTGGTTGGTGGTTGACCTACCCCTCTGAAAAATGATGGAGTTAGTTCAAGTCAGTTGGGATGATGAAATTCCCAATGGAGAAATAAAACATGGAAACCAAACCACCAAGCAGGTTTTAATCTCAGGATCTAAGGCACTCATTGGAAACCAAGATCTGAAAGATTCACGGGTCATCTTTCTCCCTGTGCAAACTAGTCGCCCATGAGCTTCACGGCACCGCAGAGGGAAGCCCAGTGCTGGACACCGCGACCCATGTTGTCTTTCTCCTGCATGTTGGCTGACCTGCCGGTCAGCAAACGCCCTGGAAGGAGAGAAACCAGGTACCTACCATCTGGTTATGACTAACAGTTTGCCATGGAAAATCACCATGCTATTAATAGGTAAACCATCTATTTCTATGGGCCATTTTCCATGGCTATGTTAAATAGCCAGAGGGTAAGTCTTGTAAGGTCTATCTAATATAAAGGTTCAGGATGGTTTAGGAACTATCGACAGTATGGTCGAAATTGTGGCTTTAAATGGGACAGTGCTTCCATTTTACGAACCAACATGAACCATGAGTGGGGAAGGTGAGTGCATGATTTGGGGTGGTTTAAGTTCCTTGGAAGTTGGCAAACATCCATTGGGTTATCATCTTATGACTTTGTAGCAAAGAATATAACACTACATGGATTGGTTTAGTCGGGAAAATTGAGACCGCGCACTCCCATAATTCATGGGAAAAATCCCTTGGGTTCCCCGGTTTCCCCTAGATGTTCCAGTAAACCAATCCATACCCCTCGGCCCCAGAGCAGTCTTCAATGCATTGAACCCTGTGGCCTGTTACCTTTTTAAATACCATCTGGTAACAAAAACGGAACTGGAAAATCCTAACATCGAACTAATTTTCATAATTTTTCTGTTCAAAATGGCGATTCTCTATTGCCATGTTTCTTTATCGACATATAATACCCTTCCACTACTAACAGAACACCTCAGGCCTCCTTCATCGTCCAGGCACTGTACATTTTACGCTGGAGGGGCAAACCACTAACCACCAAAACGATCCAACCGACCTCCCATATCCACAAATTTATGTTTACAAGCAAATAAGAACGGTGCACTCATCTCTAATCTATGAAACACCAAAACAAACATCTAACCTGAATTGCAATAATTCACTCACCGGAAACTAACTAGATGTTATCATGCAGCCATTTGGGAGTGGTGCCCCGATGATGTCACGACTTGGGGTCATTGTAATTCACCCAGATCACCCAAAAAAGCCAGTTACTTCGATGATTTTCCCACTCAAAGCTCCACTTAGCAACGACCTTTGTTTGGGAGATCTTTCCCAGCCACGTTTGATGACACCGGATTGTAATTACCTGACCCCAACAGCCAAGTGAACTAAACCAACTTAGCGAAAAAAAGCATCCCATTAAATCCCACTGCATTCCAATACATAGTCAAATTATAATATGTTGTAAGTTATAGTTATGACATGGGTTTAACAACTATGACTACTAAGTGTTGGTCAAATAGTCATTTACTTGCATGTTTTCCCCGTCAACTATGCTTATAAACCCCTTGAACTATAGCTATTTCCTCCATTCACCACTGGATGTCCCAAAAAAGGTGAGCCATTGGAAATTTCACCCTCTCCCAACTCATGAAAACTAGTTGATTGATAGCTTTCCCTACTATAAGTTCTCATATATTGTCATAAGCCCCAATAAATTAGTACACATCAGTCACATCAGTATAATAACTCCCTATATTAATCCATCAACATCTATCTGCCGTAGCATAATAACTCCATGATAGAGCTAACAACCCACATCAACCAATCAACCGGGGTATTTTGAACAGTTATAAATGGGATTATTTCATGATATATCACCTCAGTTCTAGGAGTTAGCTCATCCCATAAAGATAACTCTTCTGGTTCGTGGTTTCAACCCTCTGAAAAATATGAGTTCGTCAGTTGGGATGATGAAATTCCCAATATATGGAAAGTCATAAAATTCCATGGTTCCAGTCACCACCAACCAGTCTTAGTTGGGCCATGGCTACTTCGTTCATGGCATCGAGGCAGACCCCTTGGGACCGTACAGGGCCAAGCACAGCACCGCCAGCTCCATGGAGGACGTCCGCGCGGCGCGAATCAGCAGCGTGGCACCATCCTTGGTCCAAGCCATGGAGCCATAGCTACAATGTGCCCCCCCCCCCAGTGATGTGAACGTTGGTTTAGATTCGCCCCAGTAAGTAGTTCGTTATTTGCGTACCATAAACCATAGTGAAATTGGAGTTATGTGAGCCAACTGAACGCTATCTAGGGGGGCCTCACATGGTATTGAAAATGGCCTTAGAAATAGTGGATTTACCTATTGAAACTGGTGATTTTCCATAGTTTTCTGGTGGTTTTAACCATCTTGAAACATATGAGTTCGTCAGTTGGGAAGGATTATCCCCAATATATCATGGAAAAATAAAAACATGTTCCAAACCACCAACCTGATAAGGTCAACCCCGGATGAATAAAAACCATGGTTATGACAATTAGGGGGGTATTCCCCCAAGAGTCATGATTTGATACCTTTTTTTGGTACCTTCCCAATTAAACAGCCGGGCTAGGGGTTTATTAATCCGGGTTGACATTAACTATTATCATTCATTGAATCCCAATATCCAATGACGATCAATGATTCCTTATCATGCATCATTTACCCTCTGGTTATTTAACATAGCCATGGAAAATCAACATTTTTAACAGGTAAAGCATCTATAAATGGGCCATTTTCCATGGCTATGTTAAATAACCAGAGGGTACTATTTTTGTGGATTAGTGTGATACTGAAGGTCCGTCACATTCCGTTACTAGATCTTTTTTCTATGGATGTTGAGTATTCGAGAAGAGGGAAGACTCGACTCTAAAGGAACGAATTTCAGGTACCGCTTCTTCTGTTTCTGGTGAAAAAAAGAGGTCCCTGCCCCGGTCGATGCCGGAACAGTCTTGCCAGGATCCATCTACTGGGATGGAACGGTCCAAAACTTATCTGATGGTCGCATGTGCAATGCGTGCTTGCTGCATATTTGTTGATGGACACAATGTGAGTGCAACATAGCGCAACCAGAAATACCGGAGGATGATGGCAAGATGACCAACACATGCTGGCCAGAGGTGGTGCTGGTGCTGAGGTTTTATGTCTTTGCTAGCCAGCCTTCACTTGCAACAATTCTTTGGCCAAAGTATCCTGAGATATCCTGAGTATCCTCCAAAATTGGGGCGATTTTTTTCGTCCCGAAAGTTGTGGATTTGACAAAAGCCTGAAGGCCATGTCAAGAGGCTTGGACCTGTGGGGGGAACCGCCTGCCCTGCGATCCCTGCGATTTGCCCAGCGTCCCACTCTGGGTTGTGCCAGTCAATTTTGGCGCCAGCTTTCAGGGCTTTTTGGATACTTGGAAAGTTCCCCATAGACCTCTGCGGCTCCGCGGATGTCCGCGGAACAAAGATAAAAAAAGGTTGATGGATGTTGTTCGGGAAGCTGCATGAGGCCCAACATCCAACATGATCTGATGGAAGAAAAATAAGAGATAACACCTCAGAGTTGATGTTGTTTTCCGGCAGTGATTTGGGGGTGTTTCAATCTGAAACTCTGGATCCAAGTTTGTACCCTGAGTAGGTCTGAATGGAAGGGCCACAAGATGCCACAAGTATCCTAATAAGTGACCAATATCATTAATCTCCTGTTCAACATCATTATGGATCCAAACACTGTCTGAGAAGGTACGGCTGACCCCTAGTCATCATACCCCAGTCGTACTTCCTTTCAGAAGGCACGGCTGGCTCCATATGGCATGGTCTTGTCGTTCTACATCTCTCAACCGGAACCCAATCCAAGGTGCTTGTTCAACCTGCCCAGCATGGCTTGGTTCGCTCCACCCTCCTTTTGTTCATCCCGCACCAACTGGCAGATCTCGTACTCAGCGCCATGGACGGCCACCCAGAGCTTCTTGCAAGCTGCTTCCAACTGTTTCTCCTGCAGCTCGATGGATCTGTCAAATAGTGTACCACTAAATCCACTGGTTAATCATGATATCATCTTTTGAATCATATTTTTGTCCTATTAAATAACCGTTTTTTGGCGGCATTTCCATGCATTTCACACATGTTCAACCAAACATATTGAAAGCTTGGCAACTTTGAGGGCTTCCCCACCATCGCAGATTCTTCACCCAGATCTTCCCACGGTCCTTGGCATCGTCCGCACTCTTCGTGTAGCTGTAGCCACTTTTCTCCAGGGGTGCCAGGCTGGGTGTGGAACGCACGTGCCAGGTGGGTGGAAACTTGTGCGTGGATGCCTCGAGCGGTTGCAAGGAAGGTCGAGATCTGAGGGCGTTGGTCTAAAGAGCTATCCGAAACATCAGAAGAAAGGGAGACATTTACATATCGAATCTAAACTGAACGAACAGTAAATAACAGTAAATATCAAATTGCTCCTCAAGATGAATGATTCAATGCCGTTTCCCGAAAGCCAGTTTCCAACAGTTGGTGGCTTCACGATTGGAAAGCAAGGTCCGAGGGCTGTCCAATTGCTAAGCCTCTTCGGGTCCAGCCATCCCAAACATCCAGAAACTTTCCCGTGGATTTTGCCTAAGAATATACATTTCAAAGGTACAAAATTGCTTTGAACATTGAGAAATAATTATCACCACTTTTCCCGATCAAAATACATAATTGTTCATCAGCATTCCCAAAAAATCTGGATCCATGAGATCTTTTGAGGTCCCAAAAAACCATGAATCACATCCCATGAACTTTGGATCGTTTGAGGTCCCAACAAATCCCCAAAACTTCGCGTCGCGTCGGAGCACCGGTTCCTTAAAGACTTGCCGCGAGCCCAAGGTCGGCACCGAGTGCGACAAGACGGTTCGAGACATCCTGCTGGATGGCCATGGCACTGTCATTGTGCTGTCGTCGTTACCCTATGGTGCAACAATGGTATATCCTATGGATCCACTGTCTGAGAAGGTACGGCTGACCCCGAAACATCATCATACCGTAGTCATACTTCCTAAGAAGGTACGGCTGGATCCATAGGGATAAACCACAAACAACAACAATAAGGTTTAGTTGGTTTATACGGGTTTATACCTCCCATTTACTATAAATTTATCTAATGAGTCAACAATGAGTTTCAATGGGGATGTGACCGGGATGTGTCATGAATCAAACAGGGGTGTACACGGTGTACCACACAACACCAGGACATATCGGATATCTGATAGATGCAGCACATAGTTCGAATGATGTGGATCTTTCGCATTCTTCTAGAAAAAAAGGTCTCCGTTACTAGGATTCCAGTGGTCTTGCTATGGAGATGTGAATCTAGCCTTCCTCCAGGACTGGCCCTCCAAGATTTTGCCAAAAGGAAGTGTTTTCTAGCAATGGTTCGCTGATGTGGTATCTACAGTGTGCCAGCTCGGCACTTGGGACTCACAAGGTTTTCAGAATGAAGGGGTATTCAAATGCAACTTAAAGAAACACTCAGAGATCCAAAACTTCATAGACAAGCAATCACTGATTTCCAGAAACACCCAGGTGATGTTATTGAAATATATTGAAATCCCGTTTCTCTTTGGTTGCCACCAATCAAACCACCTTCTGTGAGGCACCCCTTTTTGAATCGGTCGTCCTGGTCTGATTGAAAGTGGAGTTGAAAGTCATGGAGTTGGACCTTGGCGAGCCCGGAAGGCCGGAAGATCGATAGCAACCAAATATCCCAAGTATCAACATGGTTTTGTCTAAAAAATGGGGTATTAAAATGGGGTATACCCCGTTTCTAAGCAATTTTAATGGGACAATGGAGAGATTCACCCGTGGATGGAATGGGGTTTTGGATATGTTTGGGAGAAACCTACAGTTTTCCCCAAGGAACTTGACAGAGCATGATGATCCCAACATCAGGTTCCCAACTCATGGGGAACATCCCAGGGAAACATACCCATGTCATCTCGTGGAAGGAAGTTCACAATACATCATCCCCATTGGTGTCATCAAACATGGCACCCTGGGACAGCCAATAAATGAAGGTTTTCATAGCCTTGATAGGTGGGAAAATCATCGAAGTAAATGTTGGATTTTTCTAGCCAGCCATGTTTGATTGCCTACGGGTAAATGGACATTTTTTAGGGATCATCCGACAATCAGGGGAAACAAACCCTTTACTGCAAGGTGGTGCCCCATACTTAGCAACATTGGCATTGGTTTACACCTAGGTTAACTAGGGTTTATGGCAAATACAATTACACGTATATATATATATATATGTGTGTGTGTATGGTATCATGTATATATACATATGTATCATGAACATATATATATATTATATGTAAATAATAAATGTAATATTTATATTTTTATTTTTATATCTATCTGTCTGTCTAGCTATCAAGCTATCAAGCTGTCAAGCTATCAATCTATCTATCTACCTACCTACCTATCTTTCTAATCAGTCTAGTCTATCTAATCTATCTAATCAGTCTGATCTATCTAATCTATCTAATCTATCTAATCTATCCAATCTATCCATCCATCTATCTATCTAATCTAATCTAATCTAATCTAATCTAAATCAATCTAATCTAATCTTATCTTATCTAATCGAATCGAATCTAATATATCTAATCTAATCTAGTCTAGTCTAATCTAATCTAATCTAATCTAATCATCTATCTATCTAACTAATCTAATCTAATCTAATCAATCTAATCTAATCTAAATTAATCTATCTATCTATCTATCTACCTATCTATCTATCTATCTATTTATCTATCTACATATATACATACCTAGATGGCCCTGGGTAAACCACACGGCAATTTCTAACTGGGAAGGCACCACCGACCCTTCGCCAAGCGACTTCAAGTAGCCCTTGTCACGAAAGCCGCCTGGCCCATCAGCGCGCCGGGCGCTAACGTGGTCGGTCAGAGCTAATGGGAGTCCCATAAATCTGGATAGAATATATCTGGTTGGTGGTATACCTACCCCTCTGAAAAAGATTAGTCAGTTGGGATTATTGTTCCCAATATATGGAAAAAGAAAAAATGTTCCAAACCACCAACCATATATATATATATATATATACTGTATAGATTGGAATCATTCACCAAGCTGAACAAGTTCGGCCATGTCGGGAGGATTCTCCTCATAAACCATCATTTCAGTGACGTCGCGACTTGAGGTCTTTTTGATTTCTTGATATTTTTCAGGAGAAATGTATATGGGAAAACACCATGGGAACCCATGGGGAAAACACCATGGGAACCCATGGGGAAAACACAATGGGAACCAATGTACATCAATGGTGGATTTTCCAGCAAACCATGTCAAATTACCAGCTGGTTGCAGCCATGCTTTCAGTCCATTTTGGAACCATCTGTGCCATTGTCTAAACACTTCATAATATGCGGTATAGTCATCCAATAACCAGTAGGGAATCCAATCCTATTGGCCATCCAATATACAAGTGGACATCCCAAGTGTAGACTATGGTTCAGGGTATGGGTCATTTTCAGCATTCGGCATTACAAACATCTAATTCTTGGGGTACCCAATTTTGACCCACCGTTACTTCTTACAGAATTTCAAGGGTCAAGCATGGTCAGGCTAAATACAGACTTGAACCACCCTGTGAGCAGAGGTTTGTTTTCCTCTCCATCTTGTGAAATGTTGGCCCTACAATGACTGGGGCCTCATTCCTAGCGATTCAACTTTCCTGGTTTCTCTTTTACAGATCGCAGCATGGATTCGCAGTTTTGAAACATCCAAGGTTGATATCTAAGAAACAACATTCCACATCTATGTACAGGTGATTCCATATAATCCATGTACATCCCAGCATATGTAAAAACCAACAAGTACATCCAGTCATTTCAAGGTTCAACGACTTGTCCGTACGGAAAATCATGCCTATAGTAGGTGGTGCCCCATAGCTATGTCGGTTTATAACTGCAATAACGTTGGGGTGTATGATAAATATATAACAAACATATCTATAGTTGCTATAGCTACTATGGTTTATGGCAAATATATGGTAAACATATCTATAGTTACTATAGTTATCTATGGTTTGTGGTAAATATACAATAAACATATCGATAGTTGTTATAGTTACTATGGTTTATGGCAAATATATGGTAAACATAGCTATAGTTACTATACGTTACTATACTATGGTTTGTGGCAAATATATGGTAAACATATCTATAGTTACTATAGATATCTATGGTTTATGGTAAATATAAAATAAACATATCTATTGTTGCTATAGTTACTATGGTTTTAGGGTAAATATCATCGTTACCATCATCACCATCAACATCATCATCATCATCATCATGTAATGATGAGGAACCATCAGGATACCCCCCAAAACCACCCCAGCCTAAATGGTAATGATATGTATCTTTCAAAGGTTACGGGGAAGAATCTGGCATGTCTTGATGAGGAACCATCAGGATACCCCCCCAAGACCCCACCCACCCTAAATGGTAACGATATGTACTGTATCTTTCAAAGGTCATGGGGGAGAATCGGGCATGTAATGATGAGGAACCCCAAAAAATCACTCCCCCACCCTAGATGGGAATGATATGTATCTTTCAAAGGTCATGGGGAAGATGGTAAGCTTATAACCATACAGTTAATTTGGTCTTGTAGCTCATAGTTTTTCCATTGTGTGTTTTTCCGGTCCACTGTCCTCACACACTGCACCTCTCTGCACAAAGCCACAGCACAGCTAGTGAGTCAGTTTCGCTCGGCTGGCATGAGCCAGTCCAAGAGGAGTTGCCCCGCCCTCATACCCTGTTGAACCGCTATATTATTGTACTGCGGGACCACCAAGCATGATGATCAATATTTCAACTTAGATGGTCATGTGATGCACAACAACATGTTTCGAATGTTTTAGTAAGATATTTTTCAACGGAGATGATCATGTGATGCGGACCAACATATTTCGATTGTTGTCGGAAGATATGTTGAAAAAGATGATTCATTAGGTGGTTGTGAAAGCAGAACACATATCCTTCATGTTATGACAGAGAGAGAGAAAGAGAGAGAGAGAGATATCATATCTACTCGGGTTACTGTTTCCATGCTTTCATGTTGGAATTGTTATGGTATGCTGTAGATGGAAAGATGATCATGTTATGCTGAGCAACATGTCATGATATGGACACTAAGATACATGAACGTCTTGTAAATTCTTGGGCAAACAATGGTGTCAGCACGTATAGTTACTATGGTTTATGGTAAACATATAGTAAATATACCTATAGTTACTATATTTATCCATGGTTTATAAACCATCAAACTGTAGTTCCTCCCCATCTCCGAGGCGCTACTCCGCGCAAAGGCTTCGAGGCCGCCCGTCTCCATCACCGCCGCGTGGAACTCCGGCGAGACCTTGCGCAGGATGGTGCTCTGGCCCAGGTCCGCGCGGTAGACCTCCGCATACCTCGAAGGCCGAGGCCAAGGCCGGAGCCGAACTTTGGAAGGCCAGAGCCACGCTTGGAACATCAAAGTAGAGCTGGATCTGCGTTATAGTGCTATGTTTCATTGAAACTTGGTTGAGGATGATTCAGGATGATGGTTCTTGGCTTGATGGGTGTACCAAATATTTGGGTTTCGGGGATATTGTTACATATTGTGATTGAGTTTACCAGATAATTGGGATTATTGCTCCTGGATGTGGCGTGAAGCTGGGTTTCCCAGCTTGAAACATGTTGCAACCACCCGGAGCATCTCGGGATGGCTTTAAAAGGTTGTGATTTTCACCAATTCTCACCAGCTGGTTGGGCAACACCCCATCACAAATATGCTAATGCGGATCACCCATCCCAAGAATCAATATTCATTGGTTTAAGGGAAAATCAACCATGGCTTTTAGCCCAAATTATAAGGGTTGCTGCCAATGTTCCCTTCACCGATTCTGGGAAATAGGGTCTCCGACGAGGTGAGAGGAAGGGGACAGGCCAACATGCATAATAAGGTGTTCTTCAGTGGATAAGCCCATGTATGTATGTCTGTCTGTATGTATGTATGTACGTACGTATGTACGTATGTACGTACGTACGTATGTATGTATGTAATGTATGTAATGTATGTAATGTATGTAATGTATGTAATGTATGTAATGTATGTAATGTATGCAATGTATGTAATGTATGTAATGTATGTAATGTATGTAATGTATGTAATGTATATAATGTATGTAATGTATGTAATGTATGTAATGTATGTAATGTAATGTGTGTAATGTAATGTATGTAATGTAATGTAATGTATGTAATGTATGTAGTGTATGCAATGTATGTAATGTATGTATGTCATGTAATGTAATGCAATGCAATGAAATGCAATGGTATGTATGTATGTATGTATGTATGTATAATGTCAGAAACCCAATACTAAACCTACGCTTTTTTTTGATAGTTTATACCACCCCATTTATGATTGAGGAGGCTTTGCCGTCGGGTTTTCCACATTTTCCACATTGTATCACTCGAGAATGCTAGATATATATATCCACCGTGAGCTAGGCAACTTACTGAGTGTATTTAAACCCCCATTTTGCTCCGTTAGCCTCCGGTAATAAAACATGGCAATGGAAAGTCAACAGAGGACTTCTCCATTAAAACCTCCATTTAGGGGACTTCCCATTGCCAGGTTTGATTGCCGGAGGGTAAATCACATGGTTTTTTTCAGTGTTGCTGAGTAAACTTAACCCCCACAGTTTTCTGGTGAAAGTCCATGCCTATGGGAATCATGGCGTTGGGGAAACTCAATTCGTCGCTCCGAACCGCTGCCGAATTCAAGCGCACAGGGAATGTCCGTTCACTGGTCAGATTTTTTGGCCTTTGACTATGTTATGGTTTATTGAATTTATTAAAGGTGTTTATAGTTTATATATGTCGCTCATATGTAGTTCAAAGATATTTAGAGTACACATATATAATTCTATTGATCTCAGATGACATGGGACACATCTCAACCCCATCCCAAGGACCCAAATATGTGCACATCACCCCCAAAAAAAGTTAACGCTTGCGGCGGGGTGTTAAAAGAGTGAAGATGGGATGAATTATATTTGGCTCGTAATAAACCATTCCATCCCCATTGATATTCCATTTATCTCGTCCTGAACCATGTTTTTTGACGAGTGGCTGGAATCCGTCGGATGCTTGTGTGTTTATACCATTTTCTGGACCCATCTAACTCCAGAATACTATGTGTATATATACATATATATTACATAAGTATCTCTATGCTTAGATGGCTTTATAAAACTTTATTAAATACTTCTATAGTCGTGAACCTATATCAAACTAATTTACCATAAGATCCATACAAAATAAAATATGTCTTATACACCCATCTAACTATAGAATACTATAAATATAGAATAATATAGATATATTTACCAAACATCATAATAAATCGTTATGAATCTATAGACTACATAATATGTCTCTATAAGTCTCTATACTTATGAGTCTCTCTCCCTCATATATACATTACATAATTCCCAAGATCATTGCCATTATATCTATCATATTCCCATAGATATTTACCATAAATCATCACAATTAAATCTAAATACTGATCTATTTATGGGCATCTCTCTCTCTCTCTCTCTGTATATATATATATATACACATACATCTAGATAGATCATCATGTATACCATATGTATGTATATATATATATACATCCCAAGATCTATGGGAATCTATGCATCTCCGAGCTGCTCAGGCTCGGCATTTTGCATCCCACCCGCAGCAGCATCTGTCGCCAACTTGGCGCGCAGACGTGGCACCCTTGGCGCCGAGTGTCAGGTGATGACATGGACAAAGTGATGGGTTTTACCGTGGAAAACGATTGTTTTACCGTGGAAAACGATGGTCTTACCGTGGAAAACGATGATTTTACCGTGGAAAACGAGGAAAATGATGGTTTTACCGAGCCTGGGCCCAAACACCCTTTCAGTGGGGCAGGCTGACCCGGCTGAACGTTTGGGGTTTCGTTGTGCAATGGTCTCTATGCCCTATGCTCCTGATCTTTCTCCTGTTTCCAATGTGTTTCCGATCTGACACAAGTGTTTGTAGCTGGTGCAACGGCCAGGGTATGCTGACTGTATTTCACAAACTTACGGCTTGTCTCAGTGACTCATACAATGGGCACTGCCTGCCTGGTTTCTGGACATTGTTGCTTCTCATCGGAAAGGCTGTCAGGCTCGTTGGGCCTTGGATACCTGGTGCTTGGTTCATGTTGGCCAGGTTGACCGTGCTGCCCGTGTGGCGTATCTCAATAGATCAGATCAGTTTTGGGCGTTGCGCAGATAGATTGTTGAGCAGTCGGATGCTTTGCGCTTGTCATTGCTTATGCAAACAGTTCTTTTGAGAATCAGCACAGCTTTGACCTTCGCCCTATACTGGTATGTTGCGCTTGCTGTTTTGGTGGCTGAGCCTTGGTTGAGCCGGATGGTGTGTTTGCGCGCATCATGGCCAGATTCATTTCTGCTTACCTTGTGCTGGTGTGGCATTCCTAGCACGCACGAGCAGAGGCAGAGTGAACAGTTGCGCGCTGCATTCACGCCTGGATTTGAGAGCATCATCGTTGGACAAGCCTTACCCTTGGCCGCTCCACAAGAGAGTTCTTTGCTTCGGGATGCTATGCAATCAAGTGCTCAGGCCTTGCGACTTGGCTTGGAACAGTGGAACAGGTTAGACACGTGCTACCTTGGGATGTCGGAGAACATCATGTCGGGCTTCTCGCAAGCAGTGCTCGGCTCTCCTTCCATCAGTGATTTGTGGATGACATGGAGATCGGTGATTGAGGTCCCGTTTGGCTTCGTTCCTGGCTTGCCTTAGCTTCTTGGCCTGGCACTGGTGTGTGTTCTGCTGCCCAGGCGTCGTTCTTCGCATTGGCCTTGCCATTCCATTCGTTTGAGCATCCCTTCTCTAGGCGGTGGCCCCTTGATCACTTGCGCTGTGCCCTCTGGCAATGGCTTCTTCTTTGCCACATGCCGCTTTGACTTGTCAATGGAGATAATTCGCTTGGAACCGCCAAGCGGTTGAGATGCAGATTGGTGCTGATTCCCTTTCAGCCAATATTGACACTGCAGCTGTCACCCGTGCAGCTTGTGAAGGTCAGATAAGTGCCCTGGTTCTCAGGCCGTTTCCGCTAGAGCTGACTCGGCGTGTCATCCAGGAAACAGGAAACATGCTGGTCTTACTGTGGAAAATGGTCCTTTCACCAGCTAAAATGGCGACTTCTCTGGTAAAAATGTTGCTTTCAATATGAGACATGGAGACATCATCATCAAACAATTATGTTTTCATCAAGAAATGTTGGAGTCGGAGTTTCAGAGTTTGACAGCAAACTTGTGGATTTCACTAGAAAAGCTAGGTGTAACATGGCTGGATGAGAAATGGGTGTGGGTCAATATTTAACTTGTTTGTTTGTTGGAGCTAGTAAGTTTCAAATTCTTGGAACCAGGAACAGAGCTTCTTTTCAATATGATCTCCCATACAATACACGTGAGAAAACGGAATGTCGAAGCAATGAATATGGGTACCCCAATGGGTAGCATATGGGTCAACAAAGAATGGAAGATCCTGGAAAAAACAACAAAAAACAAACACTAAATGGCTTGGTCATGGTTCGAATTAGAAAAACTTTTTGGGTATCCAAGGGTGACCGGTCTGACCAGTCACCCTCAAGTTTCCATCGACGCAGTTTGATGAACCCAGCGGACACTTGTTGTGGCGTCATGACTATGACTATGTTTGCAACAAGTAGTGTGAATATGTGTTAATATTGTATACATGTTCGTAGTTCAAATATCCAATTTATCTATGATTATTCATGTACAATTAGCTTTTGATTGACTTATATATGACTAGTGTATATTTGAACAAAGTATATGAATCAACATTTAGCACAATCCATTGGATCAATCGTCGGGTTTGTAGGCGGAACCAAAACACCACCATCACTGATGGGTAAAAGTGTTGCAGGTTCCAACAATGCAAAGAACCACAATAGCAAAGGAATCTAAATATCCCAAAAGGATCCCTCAAAAACTCGTCAATTTCCTCCCTCTTGGCAAGGCAAGATGCAAACTCTCAACTTTAATTTAAAGATTGCTGGTTCACATGTAGATGTGCCCCTGTACAACATGCAAAGCACAATTACAGCAAATATGTATTGCTCCACCCCCTCTTCTCCTACAAAAGTCAACGTGCAATCTAGCATGTATCTGGCAAATGTAGTTCTTTTCTACATAGTTGACTAGGTAATTGGAAGGGAGGTTTGATCAATTATGCATGTGCCAACTATACTTGGTGGTTCACCCCTAGCAAGTAGGCTATAAACCCAGTTGGAACTGGAGGAACCCTACTTGCCCCACTTATACCACTTTATACCTGGGGTGAACCACCAAGCAGTATATAGATATTGGAACTTTACCGCTGGTTAAACCTCTCAGGAAAGCAATAACCCTGCAACCAGGAACGAATAGTCTCCGGACCATTTCAACATTGCGCCAGCCGATCACAGACGCGGACTGCTGACCAATTGAGAGTTCCAGAACATTGAGACTTCACACATGCTTTAAAGGGGTAGTGTTGTTCTGAGGGAAAAGAAGTGTTGTCAATGTTTGGAGATAGTTTAAAAACACATGCTGCATTGTTTGTGGGCTGATATAGGTCCTTGGGCCAGAAAGCGGCGGCCAACACCCAGGGGCCCAGGGGTCTTACAGGCGTTTCAGCTTCAGAACATCCATGTAGCATACATCAGTTCCCAAACACGTAGTTGGAGGAAAGAAGACGCAATGGGTGTGTCTGACCGGTATACCCCAAGATAGCCACTTATAGCTAGGGAAAATCAGTTGCCCATCAAGTGACCGTTTTTGTTCGCCTAACCTTTCAGACACACAGGAACTCGCCTAGATCGAGTTCCGACAGCCTAAAACAAGCAGGTTTCGTCGCCTTGAAATGTCTCAAAAGTCTACGTGCTGAGTTCTAGACCAAACATCGACCTTGGTCGGAAGTGTTGATTTGGGTATGGGTCAATACCTATAGATACATTTTTAGTGGGATGAAAATCCATTTGCCAGCTATTTCGATGTTCACTAGGTACCAGGGTTTTGACCCATATCCATTTCTGAACATGGGAATCTTCCAATAGACATGCTTGCGACAAAGCCATGTTACTGCCTGAGAATCGGTGGACCTTTTTAGATATAACTTGGGCGACGTGACGATGTGGGGATGTAATATCATGAGAGGTACCACATATTTGAAATGTGTGACATGTGATTCCATTCTCTTCAATCAATTATGCAATATCAAAAAGACATAAAAAGACCTGGTTTAGCAGGGGGTCTATGGGGATATCAATGGATATCATGGTTTACAACTAATACCAACTATCAACTATATATGAATTAATCCAATCCCCTGTTCATACAACCTAGAATCACCATGTAGTTGAGTACAGAAACGGTTGGATAATTCACAAAAACAACAACATATGGCTGGGACTATTCACCATGGGAATGTGAAAACCATGTGAAAAAACATGACCGGGGGGATGGGATGTTCATGGATTTTCCATAAAAACTTATAGAAACCATTAAATATCATATGATAATCCCATAACCTAATGGCTGGTAGACCAGATATACCATAGATATAGCCATTAGGTTACTATAGGTTTATAGTCTATGGTAGGTGTACCTATAGCTGGTCGGTGGTTGACCTACCCCTCTGAAAAATATGACGAATCGTCAGTTGGGATGATGAACGTCCCAACTGAATGGAACAATCAAATTCATGTTCCAGTCACCACCAACCAGATATGATAATCCCATATCCCCTATATTCCCTTTGATATCCCGTACTACAGCAATTTTCATGTCAATGGGATGATGGCGAAGCGGTGAAACTGGTCTCCGCACATCTCGGGATCGGGTGAAACTGGGCCTGGCACCATCAAGAATTCGAGACGGAATTTACACATTGATCAATGGGAGATCTCCAGGATCCTAAATTGGAGGTACTGTATCATATAAGGCCATATTTTGTGGGGATATTCCCTGAAATTAAGGCCTGAAAAATAGGCCTTATATATGGTAGGTACCTCCAATTTAGGATCCTGGAATGGCCATTGAATTGAATTTCATTTAAGAACTGTGGAATCTATATAAGTCAAAGTGTATACGTGTTATGTTCATGCTTGTTTTCCAGTTTTAGGTATGAGAAAACAACACAGATTCAGACAAAAATGGTTTGTAAATCCAATGGTCCAGCTAAGGATGGTTCAATACCAAAAGTCAGTAATCAAAATTGCGATTCAACGAAATTATTGTGGGCATCCCAATCATTAATCATCAGTAATCTAGCATTTTGGGGATGGTTTATAGCATCCATAAAAATATATAAAAATCATGATTTTGGAGGATGGTTTATGGCATTGGATTTACCAAATTATGGTTTATGAAAATCTAAGGTTTTGAGGGTTGAACATGGAGACAGAACATTGCTCAACGGCGCCCCGCCTCCTTTCGTCGCCAGATTTCTTCCTGCGAACCAAGGGATCCAAGGGATTCTACCAGAGGCTAACAAAATACATGAAATTAAACAGCGCTATGTATGTACTTCTATGTGCATCCAACGAATCGCAAGGTTTATCATCCATAATACCCCTATCCTACATAGAAGTGGGGATATTCCCTACAAAAGTAGGGGATTTTGACCCATGTATAAGCCATTTACTAAGTGGGTCCCGCACCCCCAGGTAGATCTACCGGACTGAGGATCGCACGAAATTGGCTGCCATTCCTTGCTGTCAGCGGCTATGGCATGTTATGGCTCAACATTGGGGGTTACACGGCATATGGAGGTTTCCTGAAATAGGGGTACCCCTAAATTCCCTAAATCATCCATTTTTAAAGGATTTTCTTTTATAAACCATCCATTTGGGGTACCCCCATTTATGGAAACCCCCGATATCACCAATTGTATCATTGTGGATCCGTCCTTTTTTGTAAGCCAAAGCGAAAAATGAACTCTAGCAGCTAGCATGGGTCATGTCTTTTCCTCTGTACTCTAATGCAAAAATCTGACACATCACTTCAAGTGCTGTCGTGGATTCCATATCGCCCGGAGAGTCCACGGAGCGGAAAACCACAGAAATGCTGGGCTTTCGCAACCAGTCTGTGCAGCTAAAGGACTGGGGGAGTTCTTGCAGATGACCTTCATGAGCAAGGGGTTGGGCTGATATTCAGGCAAAGGGATCACTGAATCATGTGGAAAACTGAGGCTTTTCCCAGGAAAACCATCAGTTTGCAAAGTTCGAAGATGCAGATGTTTAGCATAGAGGAACCACATCTGTAACATTACGATTCATTACGGTTGATATTGGAAGAGACGGGACATAACAACACCAAAGGCGATAAGAAAGCGCCAATTGAGGCTGGAATGTATATCTACTTTTTCACAAACTTTTTTTTATTCGAGCTTAACAAACACAAAGTGACACTTTGTCAGGTAGCATTTTGGAAGTCAAAAACATGGTTGCCTCAAGTCTAGGCGGTAGAATTCCACCAGCGACCAGCTGAGTTCACCCAATCAATAGATCCGCGACACAAGAAACGAACGACCAAAAAGAGAATCAAACTCGTGTCAATTCCAATCATGGTACTACTAGTAATAGTAGTTATACTAGTACTAATAGTGATCATAACATTATCAAAGACAGAAACTCAGAGCCAAAGTGCAAACACAAGTCCTTGATCTGGTGGTGGACTTTAATGTTTGCAGAAACCTTTTCTGACTTGGAAAAGGGATATCTCTTCCAGGGGCTCCCTAGTCCATCCCCAAACTGCTATTGTGAATGATATAAACATATATAATATCATACAATATTCTCTGCACATACATGTATATTCTGTATAATATATATATATACTTCTATACATAATAAATGCAAAGCCCCAAGAAGCAAAAACGTGTTAGCTTGTCATCAAACAGGCTCTCCTCCCAATCATCCCTTCACCATTAGGGTTAGACACCTCAACTGCTCAGCTGCGCGAACCAAAAAACAACACTGCAACAAGAACCATTCCGCAGTGTTTCAAAGAACTCCTCACAAGTTGGGACGCAGAAATAAGCTACGGTTTCAAAAGGTGCTTGTAGCTGTGATTACCCTTGGCAAACCAACAGGTCACATGGAACAGCGCCATGTGAGGTACCCCAGAGGGTAATCAAACATGGCTCGCTTTAAAATACTCATTTGTACGGGATGTCCCAGCTTGCCACATTTGAGCAAACCGGAGGGTAAATCCAAAAACATTGCATTCTTATCCAATTTTAAAGCATACATTTTTTTTTTAAAAACCATATAAAACCATACTTACTACACTGCCAGGTAAATCAATGTACAAGCGGACCATAGCTATGCAGCGCCAAAACACGATTCGCCTGGAAGATCCGCGCGTGCCGTCGTCCCAGTGACTTGCCTCGACGCATATTGAAATCAACGGGATTCGACCCGTCTTGACAATAATGCGGTATATATATATGTATATATATATATAGTATGATGGGATAAACATATAAGCACCATTTTCACAACAGAAAACTTCAATAGGTCATTCTCAAGGCATATATCAATATGGGATATGTATAAATCAATATTTCATCACATAAACAGGACTTAACATTTACAGTAAATGTATACAATTTAGAAGCAACAAGTCCCTTCGCAATCAGATATACATCATGGGAATTAATGGTATATAATGGTATATATATATATATAGTGTAAATTCCATATATAGAATGATATATAATATTATAATGGTATATAATGGTGTATATATATACATATGTTTTTTTGGTATATAATGATATATATATATAATGGGAGAAAAAGAGAACTAGGGTCAAAACTCATATGCTTTATGATAGTCCATAGTCATCCATAGTCATCCATCTCATAGGAACCTGACAAAATGGTAATCCCTATGGGTTCATGACCATCCCCCAATATGAACAATTCAACCATGCTTTGACCATGGCACTAATCTACTGGTTGGTGGTTGACCTACCCCTCTGAAAAATATGACGAATCGTCAGTTGGGATGATGAACTTCCCAACTGAATGGAAAAATAAAATTCATGTTCCAAACCACCAACCAGTATACTACACCATCAAAGGATAGCCAAAATACACACAATTGGGGAAGTGGCAATGTCCAAAAGTTGGAGGTGCTCCAGTCCAACCCAGCACACATTCTATCCGACACCCTGGACAGGTTGATTTGGCACTGTCTGAGTAGAACAATCTGTGTGCAAAGAACTAATCTTGAGCTGTTGTTATCTTATTATATGCTCCCTGATGTCCCGATGTATTTGGAAAAACAACTCCTAATTCAGCAGCATGAAGAGTTCGGCCGTTTTGGAACAGTTCTCCTAATCCTGACCATCATTTACGTCGTGCTGTCGCAGTGAGGTCGTTAAAATTAACACAGATATATGAGAGATAATAAAAAGATAATGTGGATGGAAGAAATCCTGCACCAGTTGATAAGTGATTTACCCCATTCAGTACAGGTTTTCTACCATCCAAAGTGGTGCAATAAATTTCTTCCACCCACAGTAGGTTTTTATTGTGGTTATTCGGTTATCCCAATATATCCAGAGATGATGCTTGGTTTAACGTCCATCTTTGTTGCACCCGGCATAAAAAAAATCCCATCCCACCTTTCAATAAAAAAACACCCCCATGGTTTCCATGGCTCCAAAGACGTGTCTGGAAAATCCCCATGGTGACTCAACTGGTGACTCTGGGTGTTGAAATGTGAACCGGGGATGGAATTCATTGTAGGTCAGGTAATGTTAAAATTGTTACAAATCATGACATCAAGTTATATCTTTGTCACTTTGCGATTGCTGCGTAGGTCTACGCTTGGTCACATGCCATGCTACCGATGATAATCCGGTTGAATGATTGTTTCATCGGAATAGTCTGTACAGTTTAATTCCTGCAGGTCTTCTGGCAACCAAGTTAAAGCCATCGTGAAAAATCCATGTTTTTTATTCGTATACCATCCCATTGAATTTCTGTATGGCCACCATGGAATTTCTGGTCATTGATTACGTCCCCACACCGTCAAAGAAACGGCGGGATTTTGCAACCGCTTAGGCCGCTTCACCATCGACGTCCCGTTGCAACGCTCCTTGTGTTTGATTAACTGCCGAATGCCCAAGCCACCAAAGCCCTCCAGCAGGTGCCTGGGGCTGCACCGCGAGGGGAGCCATGGTGAAACGTGTTGGAACAACGGGGGGATGGGATGTCCCATAAAAACTTAGAAACCATTAAAAATCATATGATAATCCCATATCCCCTCTGGTTGGTGGTTGACCTACCCCTCTGAAAAATATGACGAATCGTCAGTTGGGATTTTCTGAACTTCCCAACTGAATGGAACAATAAAGTTCATGGTCCAAACCACCAATCAGGGTATAACATGGTTTAACGATTCAACCAGTTTAACATAGTTTAACCATCAAACCTCGGGATGAAAAAAAACTTATGAAAAACCAGTAAATATAGTAAATCATGGAAATGGGGGTTGTCCTTTTTCAATGGAGCATCCCTAAAAATCGACAATGGATCGGGAAACTGATGAATCACCACTGAGTCATGAGAATCCATGGCATTTTGGTCCATTCTGTGATTTTCCAACACCAACGAGCCAATCATTTCGCAGATCCTGGTTAGATTAGGCACGGGACCTGGTTTTTCATTAGGCTCTCCAACTTCGGATTTGGCTCGCCAATCATAGGCTTCAAAAACGAACTCACAAAAAACGGACCGGAATTTCCGGTCCGTTGGACCATTGGAACTTCCTGGAGCTTCCTGGAGGCTGGAGCGCTACTGTCCGCTACTCATCTGGACACATTTTTTTCCTCCGAAGTGGACAGTGAAAAAAGAGTAGCCCAGATGGGATTGTCCGGTTGATATCTTTAGGCCCAGAAAAACACGTCAGAGCACAACATTTTGCACTTTTCTGGGATGACCTACAGTACCAATCGCAACTTGTGGGTACATCTGAAGATGATCCCTTTCTTATTTTGTATGTTTCCGAAATTTTTGTGTGTATCATTTGGTAATCAATCTCTATAAATGCGCCGTTTAATTGAAAAATCACTGAATAAGTACAGTAAATCATAGTAGATCGAAATTGGGGATTCTTATTGCAATGTTTGCCTATCTGAGGGTGCCCGACAGTTCAAAATCCCTTTGTTTCCTCAAAAAATGCCCGCAGCCAAAGACATCTTAGATCCGGACAAGTGCCGATTCTTGTCTGCGTAGGCGGACGATTTGGGACCAGATGACGTCAAGATTAGGGTATGGGTCAAAATTAAGGACCTGGGGGACCAACGATTTAAGTTTATTTTCAGTATTAGCCATCCAATAACTGGGGTACTCAATTTTGTCCCCATACCCATTAGTCTCTTTGAGAAGATGATGGTAATGGGATTTAGAGGCACCATCTTCGACAAATACAAAATAGGCAAACATGCGAATGTAAGTGACAGAGTCCCACATTTTCTTGGTAACATTCGTATTACTTTCACTGATTAACCACCAACATCACCAGTATTCATTCAATGATACAGTAGCAGCATCCCCTGATACCCTGATTGAACTCATTCAGATAGGGAAAAATGCTTCACTCTGCCTCCATAGGATCCATGGGTATCGTGAGGTGAAAGCTCTCACCACATGTTTGATGTAGTATATATCATTATATATATATATTATATTATATTATATAGTTATATATTATATTATATTATATTACATTATATTATATTACATTATATTATATTATATATTATATATTATATTATATTATATTACATTACATTATATTATATTATATTATATATTATATTATATTATATATATTAATATCAATCTTTCGCTTGGCAAAACCATCATCACAACATGTGACTCTGTGACTCGTATTGTTCTGAGCAAACTACTACATTTCAAAAGCCTGAAAACAACAAAAAATACACAGAACAAAAGACACATGGAAGGATCCCCCATATTGACCAACATTGAGAAGGCCCGTGAATGTGCGGCACAAACCCGCCACAACAACGGTGACCTGCGATCACCTTCTTCAGTGTCTTCAGATCGTCCAGCAAGGGCTCCTGTAGAGACATGCCCCAAAACACACACACAGATATTCTCATGTTGTCATGAGAATATCAGTAGAATATCAGTATGATCTCAAAGTAAAACTGCCCTTTGGGGATGATTGGAATCAACAAAAAGATGGCTACTATCGGTTGGATAGTTGGATAGTCTATTGCGGTGAAGACCACATAAAAAAAACAAACAGATGTTGGGGGGGGTACCAACCAGGAATATACAACTGGTATCAACTGATTTCTGGTCTTAGCCGATAAACAATCCCAACTGTTGGCGATTAGAAACTGGGATCATTGGACTCAAGTCAAAAAAAACACAAGTCGATGACAGAAACCGCCAGGTGTCATCTGTGTCATCTGAACATGGACAAAAACCATCGAAAACCCGAAAAGGGCCTCGGTCAGAAAATGGTGCCTGCCCCAAAATAGCACTCAGGATGAACCAACGGAGTTTGGGCTCCCATTACCCTGAAATGAGATACCCCCTTCTCCCTAATATATGAAACACCATGAAACAGCCCCGTTAGAAGTTTAGTGTTGCGGCTCATAAGAAGGGTATTCAATGTGACTAATTGCCAATTTTCTAGTGATTGTTTGAACTTTTGTCAGTGTTATGTCCATATTTTCAAGACAATTCAAAATGATGAAACCCATGGCTATGGAAAATGACCCATTTATAAATGATTTTCTGATAAAAAGACAGGAATTGTCCATGGCTGTCAAATTTACCCTGCCCTATGGATCCAAACACTGTCTGAGAAGGTACAATACTTGACCCCCTACTCATCATACCCCAGTCGTACTTCCCAAGACAGGGCTGGATCCATATGGATACCCATATTTTAATCGGATGACCCATCAAAAAAAACCATCCATAAATATCATTAATAAGATGTTACCCTTATTAACCATCATTAAATACCATCATTCATAAATTTACCTGACATATGATGAACTCCTCATGTTACCAGCCACAAAGCCATCGCCTGCTGTTTTCGCCCTCGATGAAAGCGCTCCACCGATGCCTGATGAAACATGGAAAACCCATGGAAAGTCATCCTGCAACAAAATATACGAAAAGTAGTAGGATAAATCATGTTTTAAAATCCAAATCCGATGGAAACATGGGATGCACAAAAGGGAGCACATGGTGAATTTAAGCATGTGGATAAACTACATGTATATATATATATGTATACATATACATATACATATATATATTATAATATATATGTATATATATATGTATATATATATATATTTATATATATTTATATTATGATAATTGTATAACTCACCCGAAAACTTCCGCCATTTGGGGATACCATAATCCTAACATCATTTCAGTGACGTTAAGGTCTTGATAGTGTACCCAAAGAAATGAATGGAGTAGACATGAATAGGCTACCTAGATGCTCAATGTATCATTTTTCGATTGATTAAGGCATCTTCAGCCAACATTTCTGGCACGTCTAGCCATATTTATTGGAAAATAAGGGTCAAGGTGTACGAGTACTGGCATGTTATTTTCACAGAACTTGGACGAACGGATCAATGGGGTGTAGATTTAGCAAATCCTCTAAGAGTCCGCGATGTTCATCGATTTTCCATAGCTACTGCTATGTTATAGCTGTTACCCAGCCTGGTTATGACTAACATAGCCATGGAAAATCCCAACCATAAATGGAGGTTTAGTTCGCTGGGAAAATCATCTATAAACCTATGGGCCATGGCTTCCATGGCTATGTTAAATAACCAGAGGGTATATATGGGTATGGATCAATACCTATAAATACATTTTTAGTGGGATGAACATCCATTTACCAGCTATTTTGATGTTCACTAGGGGGATAGGGTTTTGACCCATCCCCATATTAAATTTGAAACCACCAACTTCCTTTTTATTCGTGACCCAAAACTTTTTCGAACGAAAAATATAACGCTTCGCCGAACGGGTCTCAAAACCTGGCGTGTTGACCTGGCCTGAACTGCTGCTTCGGCCGCACGGTTCCGTTTGCGGTATTTCTCCACCAAGACCTCCGATCTGGGGGAGCTGGCGCTACAGCTGACATCGATTCATTCATGTTTCTCAAAAACAATGAAAACAAGGCCCCAAAAAACAATTTGATGAATTTCTAAATTTCATGATTTGTTGGGTTCTCGATTTTTAAGAAAGATACATGCATGGAAGCTGAATATCAGCCCGTGGTCGTTAACTGCATCATTCTTCTCTTGGTTGCCTATAGAATCCTTAGAAGAAACAGCATCGTTGCCTTTCCTGCAAGGTGGGGCCGATCATTAGCAAAGTTGCTTTGTAACTCCAATAACTTAGGGGTTTATGAAAACGATGTAAACATAGTTAAAGGGTGTTATATAATGTTATATATTATAAACCAAACATTTTAACCATCGTTTTTGTCCACCCTGCTTGCCATCTTTTTTCTCGTCGACAGCTCCATGGACCCTTCCGGAATGGATATGCCACTGGACCCAAGGCCTTTTTTCATTCATAGGAAATGGCTTTATTTCACCTTTTCACTTCCAGGATTATTGATAATTGATGATCATATTTGTATATAATTTTTATGTAATTGTCTATTGATCGCGGGATTTTCCAAGCCGTCGCCCAACATGTTCGATTTGCACCAGGACATTGAAACTCCCTCCGTTTGTGGGCCAACATCAGGGCTTGTTGCTTCAATCTTGAATTGTGTTTCTCAACAATCCCCACTTAATTACCTGAAAAACTAACTCGACAGCTGTGACAGGTTTGCCCAAAAGTCATGGTCACTGCGCGCCTGCGCCTCGGCTAATGACAAATCCTCCTCACCCAGTAATTCTTCCGCCAGTTGCAGCCTCAGTGACAGAGCGCGGGCGCGCTTGACGCGCTGTCAAGCTGGCGAATCCCAGGAACACGAATCGCCCAGATTTCAAGGGAAACCTGGGATTTTCATGGGATTTTCATGGGATTTTCATGAGATTTTCATGGGATTCATATCAGTCAGCAATAGGGATTGAATGAAGATGTTCACCTTAATCAATTCGGTCGGACAAATTCCTATTTCAACATCACCCGCTTCGAAGTGGGGTAAAACACTCCCCGCTGTGCCCCAGGAGTACCCCTTGCGATGAGAAAATCTCCTTGCGATCCAAGGTTTGAGCTCATCACTTGGCCGTGGAAAGTCAGCATGTCTCCTTCATTTTGAGATATTTTTTTTCGATGATTTACCCATGATTTCCTATAGCTGTGTTAAATTACTAGTTCATTCATGTTGATTGTTCTAAAATGACCCAACCGCCTTCTAGACCATGAACTGTCTGGACTTAGGAAACAACATTTGATTTCAGCAGGCGAGAAACCATTCTCACCAACACTTGACAGTATAGCAACAGGTTGGCATATGTTTGCAATATTTCTTGTGCCATCGGTACAATATTGATTGATCATAATATGTGACAAAAACCATTCCAAAACATTTTTCTTTGTCCGAATTCACCTACCAAACTTGTTACACATATTTGCATTTAGCAAAGCCTTGTTCCGAGTATCCGCACTTGTTGGCTCGAATACTAGGGCTGAGCTTCGGTAAATTTCTTCCCTCGGAGGGCGGACAATTCTTGCATACGGGGTAAACATTTGCCCTACCCTAAGACCTTCTCCAATAGCAATTTCTAATTTTCTTGGACCGCAATTGTGGGTTAAAACGGCCATGTCAAACAATGTTTAATGCTCGATGTGGGTGACACCAACCATTACAACATTACAAGATCTTTCTCAAGCTACCAGTAAGTCGGTGAAACGTTGGTGAAAGGTGCTGGATATGCTTTGCACCATGCAGTGAATCTATCACGGTCCAAACAATAATGACCTGTGTGTGTATGTGTGTGGGTCAATGCCAAATCACCTTCAAAGAAACCCAATTCATTGAGTTGTTGTTGTCCACATCCCAAAATGACGGCTGGAGGATTCTGTTGATTTTTGGTATTGGAATATTGAAACCAAGGTATTACAAAAATCACAAAATGGGGCCCCAGTTTCTTTGTGTCTGAAGACGCATCCAACGACAGATTTAGAAAAACCACACAGCCTGGCCACTTCGCCTACAGACCAACTCAGCAGTCTAGCTAACTTCAATGGATTGGTTTTGTTGGGAAAATCTTAACCGGAAACCATCGGTTTTTACCATCAAATTGATCGGGCTTTCCGGTTAAAATTTTCCCGTCATCCAATGCTGTGATAACTGGCTGATGAAAATCCTCATAACCTGGGGCCCTGAGCTTCCCACGGTGCCTTTCTTGCGCACCTGATGAAAACCGATGGTCCAATGATAGGGATCCAATGGATTCCAATGGGGATGCGTTATATATATAATATGATATATATATATATGATATATATATATATGATATATATATGATATATATATATATATAATAATATTTACATATATATATATATATAAGATCAAAAATCGAGCGTATTACACGTAGCTCCAGGATCATCCCAGTCCTCCCATCCAGGTCCCAACCAGCTCTTCATCGCTACTTCCATCGCTGTCGACCCCAGTCGGCCTCCAAGGATTCGGAGCAGAAGTTTGACTCAATAGTAGGTTTTTATGTGATGTAATATATGGGGAAGGGTCAAAAACCGGAAAACCCCTGTAGTTCACCTCAAAATAGCTGGGATTTATGGATGTGAATAACCCACTAAAAATGGTATTTTCATAGGTATTGATCCATACCCATATGTAATATTCCAATTGATCCATGGATATGTCTGATCCAAAATAAAACCAAACTTACTGGTGCTAAACGTACGGAATGGGGGAATGATCCATTGGCTAACGATGAATAACCACGGTGAAATGGTGAGATCAAGATTCAGCATTTCAACCCTTCGGTCTCTGTCGAATTTCCTCCTGAAAACATTCAATCAGTCAACTCCGCAGTAGCTACAGTGTACATGTTCTTCCCAAGGAAAACAAGGGCAGGTTATTCCCCCAAGAGGGCCTTGCTACAGGAAATTGATTCAAAACAATGACCACATTGCTGCTTTATATCACCCAATATGTCAAAGAACTTTCCAACATGTTTGGTCTTCTTGAAGTCTTCTTGTTTCGCGCTCGCACTGCCGCTCAAAACATCACCCTGGAAATATGGTTTTGTAAATGGAAGATGCTTGTCCTGTTCCACATAGACATCTTGGGATCCATACACTGAATCAAGTTGTGAATCTCATGATGACTTTACTAACATAATCACGTCATCTGGGAGGTCAGGAAACTCAGTACAAAATCAGTTGGTCGTCATAAAGTGGGTGTATGTCAAGTCATCTGGGTACAAAAAATTGGAAACAGCGTATGCTTCTGCATGAATCCATTCGTCAATGACCCCCCCGGAATTGTCCGGTTATTTAGGATCTTTTGGGACAAGATGGTTGATCTTCCCATGAAAACACGCAGTCATCCTCTGCAAATTTTTCCCCCCCACCCCCCTTTTTCGTTTTCCAGGCACCCGCACAGATCTTCGTCACCTGCATGATCGATGAAGTCTACACAGCAGTGCCCAAAAACATAGCCTCCGGTTATGTCAAAATAGCTATTGAAAATGGCCATATAAATAGTGAGTTTTCCCATAAAAAATGGTGATTTTCCATAGTTCTTTGTATGTTTACCAGAGGGTAGCTCATCTTGCCCAACATTGCTTAATAGAGCTGATGCAACTATGCTTTTACCAATGAGATTCGCAACACCATATGCAACTATATCTCAAGCAAAGTTTACACACAACATAAAGGGTGAATGTGCGCAAGGAGTCCCTCAATTGCCGATGGGATCAACTTCTGGGAAAATGATGCTAAGGGTGATCCTGGACACTCGGATGACAAGTGCTGCATCGTTTTTAAGGTGATCGCTAAAAATTGTCCTGAACAAAAATGGCCAAAAAGTGGCTGAACATGTGCTGTTTCGACAGAATTCTGTCAATCCAAAAGGATTATTTTCCATTATATTGATATTTTGCTGGAAAACATGTTGTATGGTTATTAAAAACTGAAGGAATAAACTATAGTTAACTGTATATTAAGTGTGTTTGGATGACTATAAACTATACTTCATCAACAATTCCCATTTATATGTTATTTTCCATGTATATCCATAGAAAAAAACTGAATCACTAAACTACATATCCAGTGGCCAAAATGGACATTTACTACCCTTCCCCATCTCCAATCTCCAAGCTTTCAGGCCTCCTCGAGGTTGAACCTGGAGCAAACTTGGAGCATCCACAACTGGTAGCCCTTTTTTATGCCCCAAGAAGCCACAACTGGCTAGCTTACCCATTTCAGTGATATATAATGATATGTATATATGTATATGTATATATATATATGATATGGAGGTTTCCTAAAATGGGGGTACCCCAAATCATCCTTTTGGATTGGGATTTTCAGTGAAATGAATCACCCAGCGCGCGTTTTTGGGGTACCCCCATTGATGGAAACACCCATGGTGCGCCTCTCGACTTGGCTCCCCTTGTGCCGGCAAGATGGAATGCCTGAAGTCCAAAAAGCGAAGGGTGAAATGTTGGGTTGATATATGGGGGATATATGGCGGTTTCTACAAATGGGGGGTCCCATTTTTAGCTGGATGGTTTATTTCATGGAAAAATCTATCATGACGGATGATTTAGGGGTACCTTCAGGAAACCTCCATATGTAGAAACTAACAGTTATAAGTTGGGTTGATTGGTTGGTTGGTTTCTAAAGACCATCTAACTAGCTCGATTTGTCATGGACTCCACAGTTGGGGATCTCCTAAGTCAAGGGGGTAACCCCCATACCTGGATGGGAAAACAATGGGAAATGCAAAAATAGATGATTTGGGAATATTTGGGGTATCTCTCCTTTAAGAAACCTCCATATAATATAGACTAAAAGTTACAAGTTGGGTTGATTGGTTGTAAATTGGTCGACTTCACTTGCTTAACTAGAGAGTTTATTTGGAGATACAACATGATATCACGAACTAGTTAATGGGTGGATAAAGCAACTTACAACTGGGGGACCTCACCTTGTATGATGTCTGGAATTTGGGAAAACATGTTTTTTTGAAGCTTTCGAAACTGAAAAAACATGAGGTTCCAAAGAAAAAACCTATGGGATTGTGGGCTACGATTTCGACAAAGCCAAGATTATCTGGGTGGCCAAACTGGACCAAACATGGATGATTTGCTTTTTTCAAATATGTACCCGGCCTGGTAATTTCTTCCAGTTTGCTATAGTTGAAATCACCATGTTTTATGGCTACCCTCTGGTGAACTAACATAGCAATGGAACATCACCATTTTTCATGGGAAAATCCACTATAAATGGCCATTTTCCATTGCTATGTTAGTTCACCAGAGGGTAAATCAACAAACTTTCTATGGCCATGGCTTCCAGTTCGCTATGACATAACCAGGCCGAAAATCATCCAGTGGTACCCCGTTGAATTTCACCAACACTCCGCTGTGCGCGGTTGGTTTTTTAACGTTGACAGGTAAGCACCACAGGTGGAGCCTTGGTCCCATACTGGATCATATATATATAGGCATCTGCGACTAATTTTGGGAACACAACATTTTTTTATCGATATCATGTGATGAAACACTCACTTTGCAATAAATAATATACAACTATATGTCCAATCATATCTGACTATATCCAACTATATCCCATTATCAAACATGGATATCATTTCGACCCACACTGTGCTGTTCGAAAGAAATGATCTATGAAAGGTTTTTTTTCCCTATATCTGTGGTATTGAGTATATATATATTACATTAGATCAGATCACTATATCAATTCATCGATATATATACGTAGTATTGATGTATATCTATATCGAATCTACTGAATGGTAAATACGTATATGTCTCTATATTTGTATGAATAACTTACTGCAGGACGTACATCGTTATCATAATATTATATTATATCATATTATATATATCTCTATAACGCTCTGTGATTAAAACCTATAATGTAAGCCAATAGCAAACCATCCCCACATGTTCCATAAATGAGTTGTATCAACTATCAAAATATCTGGGTAAATTATAATATTTCACTAACCTGAATTAAGGCCATTTGGGGATGATTTCCCTTATTAACTATGATTCGAGTGAGGGAGAACAGTGAGGTCGTTATAATTTACCCAGAAATATGCTTTCCTCACGTGGAGGTTTCTGTAGTCATGGGGATACCGATTAAAAATCATCCAAGTCATTGCCCCATGGCGACTTGTAAACAACCATGGTGACGACTGGGAATCCCTCAGTTTCAGAAACCCGCATATAGATCTAAATCTATCTGACTATCTATCTATGTATCTATGTATCTCTGTATCTCTGTATCTATGTATCTATCTATATCTATATCTATATTTATTATATCTATATATAGATATTTCAAGTATATCTGAATCTCCAACAGAATCCCTCCATCATCGCCTCGGCAACACCTCGTCCCCCAAAATCGCGTCCGCGTCTGCACCGTGGGGGAAGGCCCGGGACCAGCGTCGGGCCTAGCTTCTCCAGTGGATGACCATTAACAGTTACCCAACCTGGTTATGACTAACATAGCCATGGAAAATCCCTTATAAATGGAGGTTTCTAGTTGGGAAAATCATCTATAAACCTATGGGCCATCGAAAAACCATGGCGAACTGTTAGTCATAACCAGGTTGGGTATATATATATAAATGGGATTATTTCATGGCCATAACCAACCAGTTATAGGAGTTACTTCATCCAATTCATGGTTCTGTTGGGCAAAAATAAGGTATTGAAACCTAGTTATGCAAGTTGCTTTACAATGGTCATGGTTTATAAATGTTTTAATTTTCTATAATATTCTATAATCTCCCATGAATTATAGAGTTAGGTGCGTCAACTTAGCCGTTTTATGGGGGGCCACACCTTGAAGGGGTGGACTTTCTGAACGAGAAAGTCCATATCTGTTTTCCACATCTTACCAGAGAGTGCATGACAACTATTCCTGGTGGGTGGTTTCAACCCCTCTGAAAAATATGAAAGTCAGTTGGGATGATTATTCCCAATATATGGAAAAATAAAACATGTTCCAAACCACCAACCAGCAACTATCTAATATATTGAACTATGCATAAACATGCATGTACCTTTAAACATGTCAAAACACGAAAGAACAATTTTCCCATTTCAGGGATCGTTTCTGGATTGTTATCATCCCCTACAAGGATACGTGCAGCACCCAAAGTCATCAGCCTTTCCGGGGTTTTGAACAGTGCTCATCTGTTATTGAAAGGGAAACATCAACTTGAGCTAAACCTGAACTTGAGCTGAACTTTATGTAATGCTGCACAAATCACCAAATTTCCGACGGTTGAAGGGGTGCAAGAGAACAATTCAAGGGGAACCCCTTGAATTAACTCTTATTTCCCTGTTTCAGATTTTAACTCTATTTGGTACCATGATATTCAAACAGAAACAGAGTCTGTTGTTCACCTCAACATGTGATGGCCAATCTCGGAAAGCACCAAACTATTGGAATGGCATGAATATTCTTTTAGGGGTATGTACGCCCAAGAACAATATTGGGGATATGAACCAAGCACAATGTGTCGGATATGATGCTTCACTGCAGTCAAAACAATCTAAGTTGTACTGTCGTGAACTTATATAGATTTTCACCTAGATTGACAACTTAGACGATGAAAACACAATTACCATCTAGATTTCGATATTTTACTTCGACATGATTGGTGTAGTTGATCATTCAAATAATCTTAGACGCTTCTCAGACAAAATTCCCTGTACTCTCGAAGTGTACCCTCCTGCAACCTAACGCAGATGTCGAACCAAAATTCAATTTCTACCGATCATTCTCCTAGGGAAACCATGGGTTTTCCCAATATGGGTATGGGTCAAAATAGGGCACCCCCCAAAAATGGATGGTTAATACATCTTAATACTAAAAATAACCCAACATCGGTGGTCCCATAGGCCTTAAATTTTGACTCATCTTCATAACACCAATGCTCTGGGTAAATGATCATATCATCATATCTCACTAACCTGAAATGTTGGGCCATTGATGGCCATGTGGGCATGGTTACCCCAATAACCCTCTGGTAACAGTTTGCTATTGACAATTGCTGTTTATTCACTTGATTTACCCATGATTAGCCCCGTGACTTTACATGATGATTTTCGATAGCTATGTTGGTTTATGTTGTTTTAGGGGTCAACGCCCCGAGGCGGGCGTGGTTTTTTCCACGTTTGTGCTCTTTGGCAGTATACGTGTTTAACGCTCTTGCCGACTGTAAGATGACGCTACCGAAGACACGTTGCCCAACTTTGTTGCTGACGTCTTGCTACCTTGACTGGGAGGGGGGGTGGGGGGGGATGATAACGTTCCTTTCGACTGTAAGATAACGCTACCGAAGACACGTTGCCCAACTTTGTTGCTGACGTCTTGCTACCTTGACCGGGAGGGGGGGTGGGGGGGTGGGGGGGGGATGATAACGTTCCTTTCGACTGTAAGATGACGCTACCGAAGACACGTTGCCCAACTTTGCTAGGTTCATTTACAACATACATTTATCAAAACGCGTGTTTTTATATACATGTATGTTTACATGTTTATATATATATATGTGTGTGTGTAAAAGGTATTTAAAATATCTATGTATTCATGTCTCAAGCAGATGTTGCGGAATTGCAAAAGTTTTTTTTGGCATTTTGACATCTTGCAGCAAACGTCAAAACATCATAGATCACAAGCATAAAATACTGCAAATTACAGTGTAAAAAGGTGATTTTTGATTCAATCACCAAGTACACAATTGTAGAAAACTCACACCCGCCTCAAGGCGATGTTCCCTTGTTTTACCCGAGGCTACTAAGCATCATTGTCCAAGTTTCCCCAAGAAAAACCTCTACCCTCTGCAGGGTCGACCCTGCGTTGCTGAGCGTCTCGGAACTGGGCGTTTTTCCGCTGCTGTCGGTGGAGTGCTTGGGCAAAGGCCAGCAAGCCCTGCCAAGCGGAACCCGAAACATGGGAGACTGGTCTGGCCCTATAGTGTGAGTAGGCTAGTGGTTAATGTGGGTTCATGATGGTTAATAGTGGTTAATAGTGGTTAATAGTGACTAATAGTGGTTCATAGTGGTTAATCATCACCATTAACCAAAAAATAGTGAGTAATGTGGGTAAAACAATGCCATAAACCACCATTCCCCAGTCATCACCATGTTTATGGGTGGTATAAACTTACCATTCCCAGTCATGGTTGGTTTATGACACTGTTTTACCCACGTTATGAATATCACTTGTTGTTACATTATCTATAAGTATCCATCAATATCCCCTAATTTTCCAATTGCTGTCCTTGCTATCTAGTACTAGCCATGTATCCATTTATTGTAAATGAGATGAACTAATTCCTCAAATCACTGAAAACTATGGTGAGTTAGCCAGTTGTAACTGGCCAATAAAGGGCTATAGCTGCGGGCAACCATGAAAGTAGACTTAGTGGGGTACTATCCTTACTATCCTTATCGAACATTGTGCACACAATTTGAGCTTACCAGCCTATTTAGTAATATTGCCACTACTTTAGGAAGTGAATTTCTATGGAATCATGTAAAATCAAATCCTAAAATAATGGTAACATTAATAAATATCATAAAGATCTATCTTTTTTAGGGTGAACTATGTTGACTACAACATGTTAACATCTGGAATATTTCTCAGATTTGGATGGTTTCTGTAAAATATCCGTTGCATGAATCCATTTAATATCACTAAAATGTAACTAATATTACTAAAATGTTTAAATATCATTAATATCACTAAAAAACACATAGTTTCGGGAACATTATATGGTACCATGATGTAACATGTATCAACGTATTGATTGATATTTTACTTGAGGAATAGTGTGGTAAACATACCAAGTAGAATCTTAGAATGCCAAGTTCATGTTTGGGGGTCAATAGAATGGGCATGAATTGGCTACATCCCATCTGATCACCCAAAAGGCAAACAGAACCGGTTAGTTCTACAGCTTCATCGCTTCTATTTTTGGCTGGATTGTATCTATCCAACTATCTATCCATGGACAGTATGTATCTTGTGTCTCTATGCAGTATATCTGTCTATTTCTGTCTCTGCTTATGTCTCTATCCCTGGCTTTCTGGAAGCGTTCAGCTCTCATTTCCCTCCGAATCGGCAGATGACTTTGATTATCAACTGGAACTTACCCATGTTCTGTGAATTTCCACCCGTTGATCGCATGTTTGAAGGGTAGAACCAGCTTCCACTGCCCACGCCTCCACTTGCTGCTTCACCTGAGTTCTCCCAGAAGATGGGCAACTCCACCAGAATCCGATCTCTTTGTGGGTCAGAAATCAACCAGGCTTTCCGGCTTTTCAGACAGGGACGTTCCCAACCAATCCATTGAGCTTCATCACCCTACGGGAATCCCATTGAAAATGGCCCATTTTCATCCATTTTCCCTCCCCTTCACCTCAATCCAAGGTGCTGGTTTGCCACTTTCAACAGTCGGCAATACGCCGTGCATCTGGAGCCGGAGGTTTTGGGGGACCCCAAAACTCCGTTTTTTTTTTTAAATGTTTTTTGAATCATCTTCCCTACAACTTTTCGTGGTTCATATATGTTCATATATTTTGTTGTACCCATTTTCAGACACACCCGGACAAGGATCGAACGGTCTGGAGCCGTTCGTATTAACGTTTTTCAATGGGTTCGGTATGGGACATTCTTTACAAGAAACCCTGCTATTCACAAGTTTAGGGTTTTCCTCTAGAAAAATCCTATGAACCAATTCTGGGAATGTCGCTGCACCTCGATTTTCGATCCAAATTCCTGAAACAGCAGTTGACCCCTCGGCCCGTCTTCAATACATCTTGACATGGCTTTTTCATCCACAGAGTTCCATAGAAATCACCAACAAAACTGGTACAACTTGGAGGATCATCCCAGGGATCATGGTCAATAACCATAGTTAATACATGTTAATAAGTCCCTATTCTGCGTGCTTATCCCATCATATACCCCTATAGCTAAACATACAAACATAACCATGGAAAATGGCCATTTCTTTCGTGGATTTTCCCATTATATAAACATAATATTTAAACATGGTGGATCTTTCCATAGTTTTTTGTATGTTAGTTTACCAGGCCGGGTATCCCTATAGCTAAGAGTGACTCTTGTGGAGAAAAAACGAGTGACGTTTTAACCGTCTTGGATGATCCACCAAGACTGGATGCTTACCAGCGAAATCCTGCACCGCTTCGAAAAAACCCATTCCAATCCCTGAAAAACAAATGCAGTGTTTCATAGTTACCAAACTTAACAGTTACCAACTGCAAGATTTTGCAACCATTATCATTACCCTCTGGTTATGACTACATAGCCATGGTATAGATGGCCCTAATCGAAATAGATGGTTTACCTGGGTTTACCTGTTTAAAATGGTGGATCTTTCCATGGCGAACTGTGAGTCATAACCAGATGGTAATAGATTTTCAACGGATGAGTGGGAATTTTCATGGCCTCCAAAGCCACCTTGCGCGTGCCTCGGCAGTCGCTTTCCCATGAAGGCCTGGGCGCTCTCGGTGATGGGAGACGGCTCTGAAAATGGGATACCCTATGGTACCCTCGAAGCTCACATCGATTGCTGGAAACATAGCCCATTTTGTTCGATGATTTACCTATCACTTTAATTAATTTTAAACTTCATGGTGATTTACCATCCATTTTGTTCGATGATTTACCCATCCAGTAAACAACATAATAAAAACATATAACAACATGGTGATTTTCCATAGTTACGTTAGTTTACTGGATGGTGCGCCTCAAAGAAGGTTACCAGGTTTGCTGTGAATGGGTAACAAAACGTCTACACCCAAGGACTGAATTTGATGAGGATGTAAACATGCATCTTCATCAACAGACACAAATTCGCAAATCAGAAACAACCAACAAATAGCAACAGGACCAGCGAGTTTACATGTTTCTTTGGTCGGTGTCAACCCTCCCAGAAGAAATCTTCCGAACAAATGAGACCGTCTCCAACATCTCATCCCCGTCTCATCCCGGGAATGGAAAAGACACACAACATAAAACGGCTCAGACAAAAAGTCTTCTTCAATGATATCCCCATGATATCTCCATGTCTTGGTGCTTAATTCATCTGAATTCCTGAGTCTTGTCCACGAAACTCGTGGTTTCCGTTGTTTCCTTTGTTTCAGCAGCCAGTCATGAGGATGTCAGAGTGATGCATGAACGGAATTAAACATTGATCTTTAAGAAATCCATGGTGTTTGAGCCCAATTTTCCGAAAAAAACCTGAAGTTCCTGCTCCAAAGCAAACCAGCCAGTCCTGGACATGTCCGACGTTTTTCCTTCCAAAACCAGCCAGTCATGCTGCTGTTGCCGAAAAACAAAGGCAGCATCCCACCATCTCAAAATCCAAGGGGCTGCGGGCCGCGGGGTCTCCCGGTTTCTCCCGCCGCTGTGGCGTGATGGAGCCAGGATTTGCCGCCAGGGTTTATGAGAAGTGAGTTGCTGGTGGACCTTAATAGATGTTACCATCTGGTTATGACTCACATAGCCATGGAAAATCACCATGCTATTAATAGGTAAACCATCTATAAATGGGCCATTTCCCATGGCTATGTTAAATAACCAGAGGGTAATATACACTGGTGGTATATGATAAAAGATATGCAATTGGTATCATGAGATGGGTAATCATGATGATATTATATGATATTATCATAACTACATGTTTTTATAAATTTCCAATGACCCTCTCATCATAGTGAGGACCCTCATGGGTGCTGGGACTGGCTGAGCCACTCCTCACAAACCGACCAGGATGGATATCAGTTTATCAGTGACATCACATGAAATCACCCCTGATGAGCTATCGAGGTGGGTCTGGCAAATCCAAATGGGAAAATTCACCCTTTCTACCTGGAATGCCCGTCCAAGTAGGGAACCTTGGGAATGTTGGGAACCTCAGACAGAAAAAAAGGGAGCCTCCTTCCCTTCCAGCTCATCTTTGCAGGAAGAATTCCAAGCAGTGAGCAGTGTGAAACAACCCTGTGTCCCTAAACATACTGGTTGGTTGATGGGTTCCCCTCATGGATTTATGATATTCCCCCATATATAAACCAAGGTTTTGAACACTGCAAAATCAATCTACTTGGGAAGCGGAAGCATATTTGTCTTTAGTTCGGTACTCCCAAAATAAAGATAGTGAAATACCAGCCACGATCAGAATCCGCGGGTTTGAACAAAGTGAACCATAGCTATTTAAACACACCGCGGGTTGTTGATATTCAATTCGCAGCTGTCAGAAGGGTACGTATCACAGAGTTCAGGAGTCATGAAGTAACTAGGTATCTCTCAGTCTCAGACCTTGGTAAAAATCCTCGGCCTCCAAAATGGATGGTTTAGTACTAAATATGGGGACACTTGTAAACAAGAACTAATAGATCAACAGAACAAGTAAGCTGTAGTAGCCTTTGAACAGGTGCCCAGGAAAGCTCACATTGACAAGCTGCAGGATAAACAATATGGTTCACCCACTTTTCATCAACGATTTCAGCCTCACCAAACAGGCTTTGGTGTCAGCCTTCTGACTAATAAAGAGCGGGAGGACCAATCATGTGATTTTCAAACATATTTCAAAATGACTCATTGTATTCAGTTTTACTAACTTACATGCATGGGATTGGGTCCATTGGGGATGATGCTACTTTCGTGATTTTCATGGGGAAAACTATGATAACATGATGATAAATCAGTGGATTTCGGGATACATCCGCGCCGTCGTCCTTTTCCTCGACATGGCGTCATCTCTTGTGGCTGTCACCAACTTGTCACACGCACCGCATGCCAAGCCCCCGTTGAGAACGAATCATCCGATGGTTTTGTATCTTGCAACCGGTCAGCCACACGGGATTTTGCTTCCCCCTCAACTTAGTCATTCACCTAACTAAGTAACTTAAGTTAACAATCATTGACAATCCATCTATAACTAGAGATCTCCCATAAACAGGACTGTAGTCATGGAAAAACCATCTCTTACCGAAGGGATGCACATTCAACATATTCAACTGTTTTTTATCTTTCAATTGATTAATCAACCTGTACACTCTACCTGACAACTTGCTACCGTGGATGTTGGAGACATGTTTTGGAAATCGGTCTCCTCAAAACAAAGCGACGCTAAGCAAACAAAATGCTACTTCAATGGGCCATATATAGTAATATATATATATTCCAATATAGCTTTAATATTCCATATCAAACTTTGTCTGGCTTTGATTTCAAAATCGCTTTCCCCGAAAAGAATCAAACGAATAGAACAGTAACATCGGACTAAAAATAGTAGTAAATTCAACCTTTTCTGTCATTTTTTTGGGGATTACTATACAATCTATACATATCTATACTATACATGGATCGTTCAACATTTCTGGAACGCGGCAACGCGGTGCGGTTTATTTTTTTTGACCAGATCCGCAGGGCCAACAAGAGGCTGTTGGAGATGGTTCAAGCGAGGTCTGAGGTCTTGAAGTAATGTGGTGAAAGCCAAAAGAATGGATGGTTTACCCTCTGGTAAACTAACATAGCTATGGAAAATCACCATTTTTCATGGGAAAATCCACTATAAATGGTCAATCTACAATGGAACATCCATTGTAGATCCTATTATTTTATGGATGCTTTAGAATGGATTTAGAATGGAACATCCTATTGAAATGGATGAGAACTGGGGGTAGCCCTATTTTAAGAAACCTCCAAATGAGGTTTTGAAGTGTGGGAAACCCAATGCCATAAACCTACCATTTGGGGGATGCTTGATACAACCCCAAAAATGGTCATGACTTGGGGATGGTTTAAGCATATCATAGATTCTTGGTTATATATCCCCTTGTACATCCCGATAACACGGCTGGATGAAGTAACCACAATGGGATTCATGGATCATGATGATCATGAAAATTCTGATCAATATTAACCACCAACTGACCACAATAAACTAAACCAACCAATACTAACCAATAATCACATCCCCTTTGAACACCAGCCATGGCTCTCATTGGAAGTCACCTGGCAGGGCGGGCGCAGAGTTGGTCGAAATCCAAGTATCGCTTGGGAACCGGCAGATTTTTCCCACCAATTCTGGATTGAAAAACACATCCTTTCACCACGGGTAAAACACCACTGTTCCGGTGGGGAAAAAAACGACCAACTTGGACCAACTTGGAATTCTTCGGATTTTTTTTCAGCTTGGTGGATTTTTCAGAAAAACTAACAATAGGATATTGGGTTTAATTGGGATGTGTATCCCTGCTGGGATGGACTTTCTTTAATTGGCTAGTTGGTCAATAGGATCTCCCATTTCAATCCATTTCATGGACTATGATCATCACCAATGTATTATTGGTTAGTATAACAAAGAAAACATTGACCTGACAGGGTATTGGTTCACACTGCTCAATTCTCCTTTGCACAGTCCGGAGATTTATGTGCAGTTGA